GACTAAGGCTCTGTAAGGACCAGGTTCAAGAGTCCACCACTGAACGGAATCCCATAGATCTCCTGACCTCTCCTCACCTAGAGCCCTTCTTGTTCTATCCCCAAACTCTCTCTCTCTCTCTCTCTCTTTTTTTTTTTTAAAGATTATTTCATTTTTCATGAAAGACACAGAAGGCAGAGACCTAGACAGGGAGAAGCAGGCTCCTCACAGGGAGCCCGATGTGGGACTTATTCCCAGAACTCCGAGATCATGCCCTGAGCCGAAGACAAACACTCAACCACTGAGCCACCCAGGCATCCCTGTCCCCAGACTCTCATTGGAAGATTAGCTGCGGCCCATTGGATCATTTGGAGTGGTTTATATTAAGTCATTTAACATTTGCGGTCCAGGTAGGATACTTGAAGTAGACCTCAGATTCTCTTCAGGAGCATGGGAGCCAGACCTCAGGTTGAGCCCTGCCTCCTGCCCGCATGCTGTGTGACCTTGGCCAAGTTGCCCAACTTCTCTGAGTCAGTCTTCTCCACTGATAAAATAAAGGCATCAGCTACCTGCTAATACAAGTAAATAGTAGTTTTGCAATAATTATTCTGTCCTCCGCTTGATACTTAATTCCACACGGCCGTTAGGTTCAGTTTTTACAATTACTTCCAGTAAGCTGTTACTCAGATCTTGTTCGTTCATAAAGCTGTTGCTTTCTATTCACTCTGGCTTGAAAAAATAAATTTGGTGTGATATATTTATTCATAATATTACTTGTCTGCAGCCTTTTTGTGGTGACTTTATTGAACGGTTGAAGTAAGTGACACAAAAGGATGCTATTTGTCTTACTGGAGGTTTTTCAGCGTGTTTTCTGTTCTTCCTTTTCAGTACCAGTGAAGGAAAAGAAGCTCATGGAGGTGAAACTAGCAGAGCTGCCAGGCTGGATACTGATGCGGGATTTCACCCCTAAGGGCATTGCTGGAGCATTTCAAAGAGGTCAGAGTCTACAGGCTTGTGTCAACCAAAGCAAATGCTTGGGTATTCAGGTCTCTCTTTGCTCTGAATTAAATTTGAGCAGTAAAGGCTTCATCTCAGACCAATAAATTATGTAGAGAAAGACAGGGACAGATTGTTAGCCCCTGAATCTCCGTGTTTGATGGGTGATTGGTCCTACCAAAGGCTGGCTTTAAGATAGTTCAGCCAAGACCATGTTTTCTGTTGCTTGAAATGGGTACCATTGCCTTTGTCTTAAACATCTATGAGCATTTTTACATCATAAGACTTTTTTTTTTTAAGATTTTATTTATTTTTTCATGAGAGAGACAGAGAGAGAGGCAGAGACATAGGCAGAGAGAGAAGCAGGCTCCATGCAGGGAGCCCAATGTGGGGATTTGATCCCGGGATTCCAGGATCACACCCTGGGCAGACACTCAACCGCTGAGCCACCTAGGCGTCCCTCGTAAGACTTTTTAAAGGAGAAAGTGCGTTTGAAGTATAGCGAATGTCGGTCTGTGATATAATGCTCATCCCCCTGCCAGGCAAAACTTCCAGGATGGACGTTAGAGATGATCTCTCCTTCAGGACTGTGCACAATCACATCAGTCCCGTAGCACTTCTGTTCTCCTCCCAGGAATCAGAGACCCACAGCAACGCACGGGGGCCTGTGTAGTCTCCGGCCTCCTCTATGGCCTCCCTCCCTTCTGTTTTTTTTCCAGTTCTGGCTACACTGTAACTGTCTTGTGTGCCATGTTTTCCTTCTGCGCTGGGCCTTTCCTTAGCTAGGATTAGAATACTCTGACATGTTTCTTAGTGACAATAGTCCCTGACTGCTCTGCATAGATGAAAGTGGCCTGTTCATGCCCACAGCTCCCTATATTGTTCCTTCACAGCTTCCCTCACTGTTGTAAACTAGAGCCTTCTAGAATCATTTCATTTTTGTCAACCAAGCCAAGGCCCAAATAGGGCAGAAATTATTTCCTCACTGTTGGGGTACCCAGCAAAGAGATGATTGCACAAAGCCTTCTTCCCTCACAGGCAGACCCAGCTGGCCATAGCTAAGTGGGCCTTTAGTTGGGGTTGGGTTTTTGGTCAGAATTAGGGTAAAGGGATCCCTAGAGCTGGAGGGGAGCGTGAGGTAGGATCAAAGTCTTAACAGGCTGAGCTAGTTCTGTTAAAGTGAAGGCCAAAGCATGGGGGCAGAATCAAGGTGGGCCTAGCTGGGGCTTGTCCTGGGCTCCCACGGCAAGACCCATGGGGCATTTGTGCTTTTCTTCATCAGCCAGTGAATTTAGGATGAGCTGCTTCAAGAGCCAGAGCAGGACTGGGCCCCTGAATTTAAGCCAGACTTTGCACTGTGTGAAGCATTCACAGCAAAGTCTTCTCTCCTGTTTGTAGGTTACTACCGGTATTACAACAAGTATATCAATGTGAAGAAAGGGGGCATTGCTGGGATTTCTATGGTGCTGGCTGCTTATGTGCTTTTCAACTACTGTCGTTCTTACAAGGAGCTCAGTGAGTATCTCTCCGGTCACCTGCCATCTGGGGTTTCTCATAGCAGGGTGGTACTGGTTCACTGTCACGTTTATATGTCCATCATTTTACTGATGGCTAAAAATTGGGAGGGACTTGTCAGAATATAGTATACAGGATGGTATTTTAAGCGAGAAAATTGTCGCAAAGAGAAAACAAAATATAACGTGAAGCCAGGATAAAGGTGATGGTTAGGAAGCATTCTGTAAGGTACTGCAGGCTCTGCTGAGGGTTGGTGGAAAATTTTGGCTTCATCTTTCCAGCAGCCAATGCAAAGAGAGTACAATCTGGTCTTTGTGTTGCTCTGCAAAAGGGTAGCTTGTCCTGGGTCTCAGGCCAGAGAGGAACTTGTGTGGTGGGAGATGGTGGCACAGCATCCACGGCCATTGGCTTTTCCCAGACTGTTTCTGACCATGTCCAGCTCCCACCAGTCTGAAGGCCAGCCTCTTGGGGACTTTGAGTGCATGTTCTTTCTGGGAAGGAAGAGGCTGGCTAGGCGGCAGAGTAGCTCCTGAGACGCCTTTATACCTCCACATCTACTGATTCTGCTGAGGTGCTGGCAGGCCAGTTCTGGGTTATCTCCTGAAAGGAGTTCTCACGATGGCCTTATGTGATTTTTAGCCTGCCAGGCCCCTTGCCTCCTCCACCCCCTGCCCTGGGCCGCGGCTGCCCTCTTTTCTTATACTCTCACTACACCTTTTAAGAAACTTAACATATTGCCTTTCTAACTTCAGAACATGAACGGCTACGCAAGTACCACTGAAGAGGGCCCAGTGTGGAAGCACATTTGGCATTCCTGACCATGACTTTTGCCTGGCATCCTTGAATCCTTCCATTGCTTAATTCACAATTAATATCCAATAAAAGTTGACTGGTACTCAACTGCTTCCCTGGTATAGCCATTTCCCTGCCCTCTTGGAGTTCCTTCTACATCAGCAGTGAGATGGTGCTAGTTTCCAAAGGGTGATTCTTGTTGATGGCCTAGGGCTTTGAACCAGTGGCTGCCCACACAGCTTCAGAACCCTGTCCCAGTTCACTGGAGGTGGGGTGCCATCTAGTTATACCTCTTAAGTGCCTGGAGGTGTTTCCCTGCTCTTTGCACCTTGAGTATTCTAAGTACTTGTGAGTTTTTGTCAGCTGATGCTTTCACATCAAAACTGATACCCTGAGTGCTTATGAATGCCTTCCCTTCCCCTTTTTCTGCATATGCAGGCAGCAGTAGTGTGGGCCCTCCTGGAAAGAAAGCTTCACCTGTAGGAAGTTCCAAGGGAGGATTCAGGGGAGCAAGGGAAAACACAGGTCCTGACAGGAGCTCACAACTGCCCTGGGTGACAGGCACCCTCATCCTTAACCCTTCATCAGAGGTCTTCTAGTAAAGCGACATGAAGGCCAGAACTGGTTTCTTGAGGGGTATGCAGTAAGCACGTACGCTGCATGGAGTATACGGGGTGAGGTACTGTGGCTAATTATCTCCTAGGAGATCCAAACTTGAATAAGGTATTATCCAACATCTCAGATGAAGTGAGGAGACCTGCCATGTGGCTGTTCCAAACAAAGGCCAAGCTTCCAGACTTTACTAGCTGCCTGTACAGAGGCCCCCCCCCTTCCCTGGCAGCATCCCTTCCCTCTGAGATAGTCACCTGTCAAGAGGGGACAAGCAAGCACCAATATGAAAGCTTCGTGCCAGGCACATAGTGTGGCAAACAGCAGGAGTCCTCTCCTTGACAGAGTCCCTGAAGTAATGAGACGCAGCTTAAAAAACATGCTTTAATCAACCTCATAAAAAGTGTTCTTGTAATGGGACTTGGAGAGGCCCACTTGCCCAGCAGGTTGCAGGTGATGGTTTCACATTTCCAGGTTCAGGGGCAGGGTGGTCTCCGGAGGCCAAGGGTGAGTGACTGTACAGACACTTGGCGGGGCAGGAGGTAGGTGCACACATGGACTGCATCCCCTATTCAATGGGTGGTTGGCAGCTCCAGCTGAACATATACCTTGAGAGATACCATTGTCAAGTAGGCGCTCCAAGGCAATCAGCCCAGAGGAAAAAGACGCTCACACTGGAGAGCAGTGTGCTATTCCTCTCAACCACTGCCACCTGGGAGCAGGACTGGCTTGAGGCAACAAGTGCACTTAAGTTTGCCCAAAGGGCTGCCTTGTTCAAATCACATCGATAGGCACAGCTTCTGAACTCAGCAGGACACGGAGGAAGCAGGCATGACCTGGCCGAAGCTGTAAATGATCCATCAGCCCTGGGGTCACCAAGAAGTGGTGTTTAATGACGAGGCCTTGAGGGGAGAGGCTGCCTTCCATACAGACTGCTTAGCACAAGCCCCTGGCCACAACCTCCTCCCCTCCCCAGAGGGCTGTGTGCTGAGAGATCCGGACAGGAGGTGTGGATGCTAGACAAACATGATGCCGTCTTGGAAGGACCAAAGTAGAGCACTTATCCCTTTTAAAAGATTACAGCAAAATGATAGGGAAGCTGACAGACGTAGCCCCTCAGAATAACCCCAGCGTGCCTGCCTGCCAGCCCCAGCCAGAGTTGCACCAACACTGGTGTGAAACAGTTCAACGCATGCTCCCAAGGAGGGCCCAGACTGGTTCCCAACAGGGGGGGCCCTCTGGGCTGCTCTGAGCTGGCTCCAACTGCTGTCACTGTCCACTGAGAAAGGCCAAGTGCCCTTTGGTGCATCTGTTGGCGTAGTGTCCTTTCTCACCACACTGGGAACAGCAGGAAGGGAGGGAGGAGACAAAAACAAAAAACAAAAACAAAAACACCCACCGTTTTCAAATACAGTTTTCAAGTAAGGTAGCACCCACCAAATACCAGGTTAAGGATGGGACTCTGTAATTCTCAGTGGTACAGACTTTCAAACACAAAGAAAAAGGAGCTCCAAAGGTACAGTGGCCCAGAAACTCCAGCAGCTCAGCAGATGGAAGAGGCTACAGAGCCCAAGGATGATCTGAGAGCACACAGGAGGGAGCTCCTGCAGGCTGGGCCAACATCCACATGGGCCTGTCCACAGAAGGTCTCTTGTGGCAGGTGGCAGGACGACAAGAATCCTGTGGTACACGCCCCTCTGTATGGCTGGCCAGCCACTTACCTTTCTGAGGCACTGTTCTGGAGACAGGAGGCAACAACTCCAGAGAAGCCACCAGGCTCCTCCCCCCACCTTGGGGACCATTGCCGTGGACACAAAGGGTGGGCTGCACCCACAGTTTTCCCTCCTGGCTCTTCCATGTTTTCCTAAGCTACCCCAGGGGACAGGTTTTGGTTATAGGATCAGAGACATGGGACAATGGTTAGATGTGGGTGAACAGCCCCAGAGCATCACTTCAGAAATCTAGCACTGACTCAGCCTCATCCCAGCTCTGATTCCCCAGGCCCTTCCTTGGTTTCTCTTTGTTCATTCATACTACTCAAAAAACAGAAGCTGGTTAAAAGGTTGAACAGCAGCCTCGAGCACTAAGCAGGGGGTCAGGAGGACAGGTGGGGACACCCACTCAGGGCCCTCCCAGTCCTGGCTTCCTCAGCCTGGAATGCCGGGGTCTACCCAGTCATGGCCCCATCTCTTGCCTGCTCTATTTCTGGACCCCAAGGGCCCTATGTTCTCCCGTCTGTCTGATGTGTAGGTGTGACTGTGCGGATGAGTGGCCTGTGCAGCTGCTAGCTGGCCCTTGGATTGATAAGCAGAGGGAAGGACTAACCGGGCCCCTGCTCAGAGCACCTGGCATGGCCTTTGGCCTCCACAGCTGATCCTGGAGAGCCTGGGATTCCCACAAGGTGCCTTTAATGTCAACTAGGAGGCTGCCGTGGTGACAAGGGGGTTGTTAGGTTCTGACTTCACCTAAGTTTAGGATTCAGGAGAGCTTGCTTTGGAGGCCTTGCTGAAGAGTGCAGGGGGCAGGAGGTGAAGATGCCAGCTACACTGCCTCAGAACACATACGGTTTCTCTTACTTGAGAGGGGACTGGTCGGAGGCATACCCTCCTTTCTGTACGTTCCCCACCCGGTAGGGCTCAGGCTCAGCCTTCCCTGAATCCAAGTGCGCTTTTAACTTTAGCAGTTTGGGGCACCTGCCGTCTCCTCCTCGCAGAACACAAAACCCCTCCTGGGAAAGAGCGCTAGCACCTTTCGTTTCAGTGGGGCTGGCACAGAGCAGGGGCTGAGTGTGATGGCTGCAGGAAGTGGCTCAGCTTTTCCTGAGGGAAAGTTCTAGGAACAATTTAAGCTAAGCATACGCTTCCTGGCTCGGACCTTCTACTTGGGAGGCACGGATGCTGCTGCTCTCAGGCAAGAGCTCACAGATGTCTAAGTGTCAGATTCAATAATGCTTTTAGCAACAAAAATTAAATTGCTACCAACAGAGAACTGGTAAAGTAAATTGCAATTCTGTTATGCACCCACTGAAACAGATTAGGTTTACATAGAATGATCCACAACATATTATCAAGAAGGAAAAAAAAAAAAGACTACAGAATGTTATACATACCAGGGCCCTATTTATATTAAAATGTACTTTCCTAGTGCTTGTGTGACTAAAAGCTTGGCACACAGTTCTCCATGTGGGGTCCCCTGGGGGTATGAAGGAGCACCAAAACCAAAAATCATGACAACAAAGCCCACGGAATCAAGTGGCTGTTTTAGGAAAGGTGGGAATGGGGATAACACTCTGTACCCAAGACATTTCTATGTCATCTCAGTGGTTTTACAAAAAGCATGTACTAACTTTGTATTTTGTCTAATAATCCCCAAATCTGAGGGGTTTTGTGATCTAGTTATCAGTTGTTTCTGCGGATTTCCCTCGGTGGCGGCGGTTTCCTTCTAGATTTTGTGATTTTTAATTACAAACACATTCAACACTCTGGCTGTAGGAATTATATGTGGTCGGCTTGAGAATAAATTCCTTGTAGAGCCAGGCACCAGGAGCCCACATCTGGGTCTGTTTCAGATTGGAAAACCCAGTTTATTGCTTTCCAGCCCTCCTTCACTGAGGGTTGAATACAAGGGTCCCCTGGTGACTGTAAACTCTCAAGGCACTTATCTCCCCAATTTCCATCCAAAGCCAAGAATGAGACAAGTTTTCTAGTAGGTTTTTAAAGAGCTTACCTTACCCTGAGATAAAGGAGTGTGTGTGTGGATGTGCTAGGGGTGGGGTGAATTCTTTGTTTTCTTCTTACATGGGCTTAAAGCTTTGTGCCTTTCCCTTGGGTATGCTCTTGCAGGATATGAGGCCATCCTGAGACTTCAGAGCTTACTCCCTTCTCCTGGCTTTATGCTTATACCTTATCACTAGCCCCTGAAAGATTTCCCTCCTTTTCCCACAAGCTCCATCCTTTCATTCAACAGCATGTGTGATGGTTCACTTGGCCTTGGCGTGTCATGGATGGAAGGAAGCAGGATGGTCTCTAGCCTACCAGAGTAGCCCACTTTGACTCTGACGGTCAACAGAGACAAAGATGTTTTCATCTTTCAAAATTAACTACCTGAAGATCGAGGGAATGAATCCTGGCTGTGAAGGCCATACCAGCCCCCCAGCCCGGGACTCACCTTATAACAGGTGACCTGCTCCAGCGGCCGCGGTCCCCGGTTGCCCGCGCTGCTGTTTTGACTCTGCATGACCCCGATGACCTGCGGGGCTCTCTGCTGATTGGGAGAAGAGTTCTGACTCGTTAACTGGATCAAGGAGGACGACCTTTGTAATGGCGGATTGTTACTTTGCTGGAAAGAGTTACACAACACGGTTTTACTGTGGAAAACACGTGCACGCAGACTACCAATGGGGACAGGAAAAAAGAGTGCGGGACTGATCCCGCATGACCAGCAGGAAGAAGGGCTTCTGCAATGGCCCCGCTCAGGAGAGCAGGTGGAAAACAAATATCTGGTGATGATGGCAGGAGCCGCTGCCCGAAAAACACCATGCAGACACACAAAAACGAAAAATAAAAGTAGAAAACAAAACACCAAAGAGACGAGGAGGTCTCTGGGGCAGCAGGGCAAGGGCATGAGCAGGCCTTACTTTTGTTTCTGAGGTTCTAGCTTCAGGTCAGGATGAACGCTTGGTTCAGCCAGATGTTTAGCAGCCTACACGGCGAGCAACAGTCACAGAAAAACAGTTGGAGGCTGACATGCTGACCTGCGGTCTAGGGGCTGAGAGAGCCTTCTGCTAGGGAGTCCTGTGAGCCAGGGGGGTGGGGGCTCCTGGTGTCGGGGCTGGACAGCTAGGCCACCTCTCAACCACGAGGGCTCCTGGCTCTGGCCTCCGGTAAATAAATACAGGGGCACCAAGCTAGAGACCCCCAGGTTGTCATGGTCATACCTGCACCCAGGAACTCCCCGCTTTGTGATGAGTCCTATCTGAGTTATCCCACAGCCTCCTGAGGGTGGGGGTCAGTGCCAGATGTCTGGCCACCACAGGCCCTCCTACCTTAGCCCGTAGCCCTGAAGGACGGACGGGGCTTTGGCAATGGGCTCAGAGTCCAACATGTAAGAGGTAAGGATTTAAGATCAGTAGGTGGGTTTACTTGGCCTGTTGAGACCCTGCCTAACACACCTGGCCACCCTTTCTTCTGGGCCCCCAACCCTCCACTCCCATAAACAAATTCAGGGTGCCCCTGGTTTGGGTGGGGGAGGGGTGTGCACTGCTACAGATTCCCACTTGTCTGTGGCATCTCTCGCTGTCATGCTTGAGAGAATTAGCCTACTGCTGGGTTGTGGGACCCTTTTGTCTAGGGAGGTGGAGCCAGCTGGTCTTTCAGCCCTGTTCCCAGCCCTCCCTTCCTGCCAGGACCCTCCACATGGGGCACCAACAGCACAGGCAGGAGAGCCGGTCAGCTTCAGTTCTGCTCCAGGGCTGCTCCTGCCCAGCTGTGGCCTCAGGACTGTTTCCTTATTTATAAAGGGAGCAAGAGCAGCTGACCCCTGGTGCTCATGCTGCCCTCCACTCTGGCTCCCGAGGGGGTGCCACTGAACCACTTGCCACGCAGAGGGAAGAGAAGCCAAGTGGGCATTCAGCTCTAGCAGGCAGCCCTCCACCTCTAGAGGGAGAGACCAACTGCTCTGCTCCCAAATCTGCTGGAACTCAGGGTGATTCCCCTCCTGTCCCCTCCACCCTCTCCCACATCGCCAGTTGGGTCTGTAGCCGCCTGCATACTGGGACAGCCACTGCTGGGGAGGGGCCGGGGCACGGTACCTTTGTTGCAGGTTGCGTCTGCTGTGGCAGTGGGGGCTGCTCGGTGGTTCCCATTGGCAGTTCAAATCGAGGGCTGGTCACCCCGCAGCCAGAGGGTATGAGAACAAGGGGAGGAGAAGAGGGGATGAGAGAGGGGCCCCGCCAGGCTGTGTTCTTAAATCCTGGCCCTGGGAACTCACAGGCAGCCTGTGCCCAAGCATAGAGCAACACGCCTGAATATGGGGTAGCTGCTGGCTCTGAGCTCAGCCCCTGGAGCTTTGGAGAAAAGGGGCAAAAAGAATGGATTCGCCTGGACTCAGACCCAGCTCTGCTTACACCTGGCTGCTAGGACCTGGGGACCTGCAGCAAGAGCTACTTTCCAAGGGCTTCGGAAGTGGGAGTTCCTCCCAACACATGCCCCTCCCTGAGGGTCTAACTCAGGTGGCCAGACCACCTCCAACAAGACACACTCCCTGGGGAACCGCCCGGCCACCTGCAGGCTCCTGGGCTCTCACCTAGGGAGCTGGACCATGTCCTCAGCACCTGCCCCCTGTCCACTGTGTGGCAGTGACCAGGATACTGTGCTTCTGTGCAGGTGTCAGTGGGGTGGATGGAAGTGGCCCGGAGGTAGGAGGACGACAGTATTCTGCAGTCCCGGTGCCACCCCAGGGAGAAGTCCAACTCCATGACCACCCAAAGTGACAGACATGGACTAAGACCTAGGAGAGGAGCTCTGAGCCCTGCTGGGCAATGAGAACCCAACTTCAGAGGCCACAGGCCTGCCTTTGACCAGGTGCCACTCCTACCACCATGTGACCCTGGCCAATGGCTGAGCTCTGAGTCTCAGTCTTCTGGGTGAGATGGGGAGGTTCTCTCTCACACAAGCTTATGAAGAATTACATGAACTAGCATACGTGGAATCTCAAACTTGATGCCTCCACAGGGGAGGCCCCCATAATGAAGTTGGCTTCCTTTTAGGCACAGGTTCTTAACCAGAGGTCCCTAAGTGACATGCAAGATGTGAGCTTTTCTGGGGCACGGAGGCCAGCTTTCGTCAGATCTGCAACCCAGGAAAGCTTAAGTGCCAGACTGGACAGAGCCACCTCTGAGTTCAGGGAGCAGCACTGGCCCTTGCCCCGGGCCCCGTGGTGATACCACCCAGTCAGCAAAGCCCAGGTGGACCCAGGAAAGGTCTGGAGGGCAACAGGGCCTGGCTACTCACTGCATGAATTTACACGAGGGCCCCTCCGGGCAGAATCCCACGAGGTAATTCACACAGATGACTCTCCGAGTATGTCGGTGCCTGCACAGGGGACCTGTGGAGCCAAACATCCGGGACGCTCGGACCCCCTGCTTCAGGGGATGGCTTCATGCCCCTGTGTAACAGAGCCCTGGCCACACCATTGCCCAGGTGCAGAGGGCAAGAGCAGGGCTTTAGATGCTGGCTCTGCCTCGGATCCATTCATTAGCAGGCAGGGCATGCGACCTCCTAAGCGCGAGTTTCCTTATGCAAAATATAGGTGAGGATGCAGTCCACACGGGAGCTTTGGGAGGCTAAGGTGAGCTTAGGGTGTAGAAAAGCCTCACTGGCCCCAGGTGCATAACACCAGGTTTTGCTGGAACAGGTAGGACAGGGAGAGGTCATGTGGGCAGAGGAAGACAGGACCAGCCTTTTGCTGGGAGCCCAGTCACTCTGATACCTACCATGCTTGCAGAAGCCACGGTCATACCAAGGGCAGTCCTTGATCTTGGACTCGGGGTCGATGTGCAGGAAGGGGCACTCCTTGTTGCTGCACTCCCCTGCAGGGAAAGCCAGACATGAACCCATCTGGGGAAGTTCTGGGAGAGCTGGACTCAGACCCACCTCTGCTTTTCTCAAGGCTAGGCTTGCTGTGTGGCAGAGGGCCAGGTAGTTCTGGTGTCTCCTGGCCTGGTGAGTCCTGGTGAGGCTCCTCTCAGAGCCTCAGACTCCTGACCTATACATGGACCATGTACATGACTTGTACATGGTGCATCCCTCACACATGTCCATGCTGCCTTGAATGTCAACGACACAGAGCCGGGCATGGGGTGCGCAGTCATCAAATAACTCATGGCTCCACCACTTCTGCAAAGGGGGTATCCTGGGCACTGTGGGGTGCCCAAATATACAAAAGCACCCACTGAGTCAGGAAATGACTGGTCTACTCTGATCAGCTCTTCACATCTACTAGCTGGGATGGGACAAAGGTCTGAGGGTTCTATCTTTCAGAACAAAAGCAGGGAGGACCTGGGAACTTGAGGCTGGATCCCTATGGCAAGAGTGTGATAAAGCCTTTGTGATGACAGCTCCTCTCAGGAGCAACTGGTCCAGCTGGCCAGCAGCATCTTTCACCCAACTTCAGGAACCATCCAGATGGGCGGCTGTGCCACATGCTTGCCCTCCCTGATCCACGTTACACATGAAAGGCCAATCTGGTCACTGCTTTTCAGAGAAAATGTAAACTCCTTCTCAGACACACAAGTCCCTGTGAGGTGTAGCACACCCCTCCCCCAGGCTGCTCCTCCCCCAGCCACATTGGCACCCCAGCTGGTCACCATGAGCGGCCCCTTCTTAGCCTTCAGATCCTAGCTCCGTCTCACCGGAGAGGCCTTCCCTGACCATTCAGCCTAAGGACAATATGGTCCTCCAGACATGGTCCCATCCCTGTCTATTTCCTTCAGAGCACTTCCTACATGTCATTTTCATCTTTGTTTCACTGGTGTCAGCTGCCTCTTTCCCTGGGCCTCTAGAACAAAAGCACCAAGGGACGAGGACTGGGCCTGTCCTGTTTACTACGGACCCTCCAGTGCCAAAGGAGGACCCTCACTTGTGTCCCGGATGATAGAAGCTGCAGACAGTACATGTGCACTAGGACAGGCTCTGTAGGGAAAGAGCAGGCAGGGGCACCAGAGGCATTGGGGGGCTGCCAGGCCCAGCAGGAATGAAGGAACCTGGGCCAGGCTGAGAGGAGCCCTTAAGAGTCTGTCCAGGAGGGCTGGCTCCCGCCTTTGGTTCCAGATGGGAGACGGCATCCATGAAAAGGGGACGCCCTCTTCTAGTGCTGGTTCCAGTGCTGGTATGGGTGGGGCAGGACCGGGAAGCCTGGGTCCTATTTCTGACCATCTGCACTTTGACTTCACAGCTTAAGCTACCTCTACAAAGAAAGCACAACTATCATTAATAAACCATCAGGCCACACCTGTTGGGCTGCTGGACTAATCAACATCTCCTGATGACAGCTCTGAAAGTGTATAGTGCACCCAGCACTACCCCACCCCCCTACCCACCACAAAGAGTACAGCAGGCTTCCAGTCTCCCGCTGGGTCCCTGCACAGGGCTGGACATCCTGAGGCTAGAGCCCACCCTCATCCTAACCAACAGGGCTCCTTGCTAGGCAGCCTCACCCACAGCACAGAGCCAGGGTATTCTAGTTCCATCAGGGAGTGTAACAGCCCTGCCGAGCCCTGGCCCGCCCCTTTTTCTCCATGCAGTCCACTTAGGATGGCGAAGAACACATGTTCTCTACACAGGGATCAAGGCAATCTCAAGGTGAGGAGTGGTGCTCTTGGCCACCAGAAAACAGCCCCTGTTTACAAACTACTACCTGGGACCACATTCCCAGAGAGGAGGAACTAACACATGCCTGGAGCGGGGTAAGGAGTCACCATGTTGGAAGCAGCAGCTGATTTAGGGGAAAAGGCCAGTGTGAGCAGAAACAAGGCCTCCAGCCAGCTGCCTGGCTTGCTCACCCATCATGTAACCCTCAGTCGTCTCCCAAACTTGCCCAAGTACTTGAAACTAGAGGGCCAGATGAGGTTGGTGGGCACAGCCTAAGATTCTGAAGCCGGACAGCTGGGAGATGGTAGAAAGTGCAGGCGCCCAGCCAGCTGCTTGTCCCCTCTGGGTCTCAGGGCTGGCAGAGGCCTCCCCGGGGCTCCTGAGGCCAGGCGTCTGCTTACCAAACTTGGAGTAGAAGTAGCACTCGGGCATCTTGGTCATGTCGTACTCGTGTAGGAACTCACACTGGTCCCCCTTCTTGCACAGCCCCCGCAGCCAGTGTTTGCACACAACAGTCTTCTCACCGCTGATGTGGCGGAATGGACACATGCCCCCTGCCAAGGAAGACAGTGGGGCTGTGAGGAGGGTGGTGCCTTCGTCCCACACATCCCTCGAGTACCTGAGAGCAACATGTCCTGGAAGGTTGTGGCTGCCTCTGGCAGAAGTCAACGTAATTTCAGGCAGTACATAAGCACACATCTTAGGTTTTAGTGCTTATTTTATTTCAGCGTGTTTTGGGAAAACCCAACAAAAACAAAAAATCATGATTTCACCAATATTACTCTAAAATGGAACCTTAACAAGCCTAAAGGTAGTGGGAAAATGAGCTTCTTTCTTAATTATAGTTCTAGTGATACACAGACGTGGCAAAAATTGTAGGGGCAGTAAAGGAAAAACTAGGGTTTGGGAAACACAGCCCCCCAAAACAGAAGGTAAAGAGGATCACCAGCAGAAGCTTTGACTCCAAGTGGGTTCTACCTCTAGTTATAAGGGCTCACTTAGCATTCAAGAATTAAGAAAGAGAAATGCATCATACACAAACTGAGGGAGGTCTGCCTTCTTTTTTTTTTATTTTTATTTATTTATGATAGTCACAGAGAGAGAGAGAGAGAGAGAGAGGCAGAGACACAGGCAGAGGGAGAAGCAGGCTCCATGCACCGGGAGCCCGACGTGGGACCCGATCCAGGGTCTCCAGGATCGCGCCCTGGGCCAAAGGCAGGTGCTAAACCGCTGCGCCGCCCAGGGATCCCCAGGTCTGCCTTCTGTAGCAGGTCCCGAGCAATTGGCCACCAGATGGGACACAGCCATACTCCTGGAAACTCATGTTTCTAACTCATGGCCTGGTGGGACTACTGGGGAAGACCCAACCAGAATGAGGTTGTAACTGGGAAAGACCCTAGACCAGCCCCTTCTTACAGAACTTTGCACTGGTGTTCTGTATCTCTGCCATCCAATATGGCGGTCACTGGCCACATGTATTAACTAGCCACATATGGCCAGTGGCTACTAGTCAACACAGAAGACAGCCACAGTGCCCTGTGATAAGGACAGCTATCTGACAGAAGGCGGCGGGTCAGAAGGGCAGAATTAATAAGCACAAATGTAGGAAATAGACCAGAAGCCCAGTGGGAGATGATATTCCAACCAGAGAGCCCCAGGGCAACCTGGTTGATCTACCCAGCAGGTCTATTGTTTCCCTGGGAAAGGCTAGAGTTATAAACCAAACTTGCCAAAATCATCCAATAAAACCATCCCTTTGCTCCAATTTTGTGCTCCCTACTCAAGCTTCTGATTAAAATCTAGTTTCCAAATAAATTTGCCTACAGGAAGAAAAATGCCCAGACCTATACAGGGCATGTAAGGTCTCACCCAGCAATCTGTCTCCTTATCAATTAGTGGATAGTCTGGTTCCAGCAGCCTCTGTTGGAGTCTGGTTGGTATGAACATGGCTCCACAGGACAGACTACTGTAGGGGTTTTTGATGACAGGGTACAGAGGACAGGGAGCTTGGGTAGACTATAGAATCAGAAAGGCTTGGGTTCAGACACTGGCTCAGCCACTCACTAATTCCAAGATCTTGAAAAAGTTTCCGAACACCTCAGTGCTTGGGCCTTCTGTCTTTGGGCCACAGGCAAAGTGAGGTGAGGTGAGGAGGCAGACTCAGAGCGAGGCTCTGTCCTGGGATTCAGATTTCAGGAAGAATACCCCATCATGTTCCTAGTCTGTCCAAAGCACAGTAATTTCATCTAGGGATACTGTTAATCTGCAGAAAGTAATGCAAGCCAGAGACCTGACAGCCTGAAGTCTGCTAGGGGCCAGGGTGGCAGAAAGCACCTCAGGGGGAATTTTGAGGAGCCAGGGGTTTCTCACCTTTGCCACAGGCAGCTTTCAAAAAGAATTCGCAGACAGCAGCTCCCGACTCTGCAGGAAGGAAAGGAGAAGCATCAAACAAAGTGAGGTGTGACTGGGGACAGCTGAAGACATAAGGAGGGGACCCTTCTTTGACCCCTGAAGTGTTCAGGGTACAGAAAACAAACTAGCAAAAACAAAACAAAGCTTGACCACACACACAAAAAGCTGCTCATTTTAGTCCTTCCCTGCGGACACGTATGTAGAGACCAGTCATCCTGAGAGCTTCCTATAAGCAAGATGCTTTCTTTTTTTTTTTTCTTTTTTTTAAATTTTTATTTATTTATGATAGTCATACAGAGAGAGAGAGAGAGAGGCAGAGACACAGGCAGAGGGAGAAGCAGGCTCCATGCACCGGGAGCCCGACGTGGGATTTGATCAGGGGTCTCCAGGATAGCGCCCTGGGCCAAAGGCAGGCGCCAAACCGCTGCGCCACCCAGGGATCCCAAGCAAGATGCTTTCAAGGAGTTAGGAGTGGGCAGGGGAAGGATGGAGCACAAGATTACAGAATTACCCCCAGTCTGGACTCCGACCTTCCAGAGGGCTAACTCACGGGCACTTTAACTTGAGACAGAGGGAGGGTGTGAGCTCACCGGAAGCACAAACAATCAAATGGGGACTCGAGGGAGGGACAGGCTCCAGAGATGGGGCGGGTGCCTCCGAGGCACTATTCTGGTGGGAAGAGCATCAAGGAAAACAGAGGCAGAATGTGCCTGCCCATGATCTAGCTCATGGTGGTACAATACCAACACACAATTAAAGACTCACGGTCTTCTGCTTCCACAGAGGCAGCCAGTTTGGGTGAGGTGAGCCAAGGAATAAAGGCAGAGTGCGGTATCAGTGACTCCAGGGGGCAAGCCTTTGCAATCAGCCCAGGAATTCACTCACCATGGCTGCTAGCATAAACTCTCCCTGGCTTCATTAACAGTTTTCTCCATTGGCAGGCATTTTAGAGCTGCTGAAAACCCACCAAGAGCAGTTTGGAAAGCCACTTTCATCCTTCTCTTCGCTATCTTGTAAGAGACTCCTTTTATTCTCAGTAGCAGGCAGATTTTGCTAGGACAGACTTAAGGCTGTCAAGGGGGTATCACTGGTTTGCATCTCAAAAAGCTTAAGAAGCAAAAAAAAAAAAGTTATTCATTTGCATTTCAAAAAAAGTTTAAAAAGCCTTATATTAAGGAAGGCATCACAGAAGAGTATTTCTGGGCTCCACTCAGAGGTTAAGGTTACTTCATTGCTTGAAGCCAGAAGTCTACAGTCCTGGGGGTGGGTCTCAGGCAGATAGGTTAAGAGTATGTTTTCAGGGGAGAACTGACAATTCTTCCCAAAACTAAGATGGCAACGAAGTGCCCAAAGGAGAAACGGTTGTGACCACCCAGGGCTTTAACACACTGAAATAGATCATGTACTGGCAGAGGGCAGAGGGTGCCTACCAAGTCTGAGCCCTAAGCCAGGGCAGCACCCATGGCCAGGCATGTCCCTGACCCTCCTTAGAACAGGTATGTGGGCCTCTGCACCTGCCCACATAGACTCAAGTATGTGTGGTCCCAGGCTGGAGAGGAGAGAGGGAAGGAGCTGCCCTGCATGGGTGGTTCCATCAACACAGGGAAAGGACACATGTGCAAAGGTGGATGAGCATGGGGTGGCTGGGTGGCTGAGTTAAGTGTCTGCCTTTAGGTCAAGTAATGATCCCAGGGTTCTGGGATCGAGTCCTGTATTGGGCTCCCTGCTCAGCGGGTTGCCTATTTCTCCCTCTCTCTTGGTCCCTCCCCCACCTGTGCTCACTAGCTCTCTCTAGCAAATAAATAAAATGGATGAGCATGCACAAGCAGGAAGTGATCACATGTGTCCAGGGGTAGTTAATAGTGTGTATCTGAATTTCAGCAGCTACTTATAAGATGTGTATAGTAGAGATGGAGGTGGTGTGTACATAGGGTTGCCAGAGGTATGTCTCCTGGGTATAAGTGGTATCTCACAGGGAAGTGTCGGCATGACTGAGACAACTCATGCGTGCATGATAAGTGTGACCACTTGAGAGGAATGAGGCTGCAAGGAGGCTCTTCCAGGACACAGGCCTGGGTGAACATGGGCCTCTGGCATGGGACACAGCACAGGGAACCACAGACTGAACCAGTAAGGAACACTGGAGAGCTCACGTGGTTCCACCATGTACCAAGTCGCCAAGGACCAAGTGGTCTTCTGCAATTCCCTTCCCCAGAACCAGGTGCCCCATCTGTGGATTGAACCGAATGACCTCTAGGCTTTAACATTACATTCCAAGTGTGACTGGAAAAGAGAGAAGAAAACTGCCGGTGTCTTTTAAAGTGCTAGATATCCACCTAAGTTGCGGGGGGTGAAGGAGCTAGAGACTATCCTTTCACGGTGGAGAACAAAGGGAACTCAGGCAGCTGCCCAGGTGTGATGAATGACTCAGAACTGGAGTCCAGAGAAAAAGTGAGGGATAGGCTGCCAGGAGGGCACATCCTAGAAGAATGGAGCTTGAGAGTCTAACTGGGAATCCTCTACAGAGAGGAGACAGGTGGTCGGTCCTTCCTCCAGCAAGACTCCTCCAAACGCCCAGTTTTGATGAAACCAAGGAGAGGGGGCTCAAAGTGTGTGTGGGGGGGAGGGGGGACTGGAGTCAGAGAAGGGGAATGTCTCATTATTTTCTTTTAGTTATGTCAGGGAAATAATTTCCAACCTCAAACACCCGCTTTCGTTCACGACTTATTCCAACAACCAGACACGATCCTGCCCTCCAGAAGACTGTATCAGAACAGCCCCAGGGGATCAAAGGTTGGAGAAAGGGGGGCTCCCGAGTCTGAATGGGGGAAGGGGGTCCCAGGATAGGGGGGAAGGCGTCCCCAGGACCGATGCAGAAAAGGTCCCGGGACCCACGGAAAGGGCGGCCTGAACCGAGGGGAGGGGTCCCGGGGCCAAGTCGGTCGTGCCCCTCGCCCCGCGGCCCCGGCCCCGCGCTCACTGTCCATCCCGGGGAAGGGCAGCGGCTGTGCCCCGAGCTGCTGCTCCACCGCGATCTCCAAGTCGAACTTGATGTGGTCCACGCTGGCGATGATTTCCTGCATGGCGGCGGCGGCGGCCACACCGGCCCGACTACTCCTCAGGTCTCTCGCCGCCCTCACACTCCTCCTACCGGCCACCGGCCCCGCCGCACACGGTCCTCCGCCTCTTCCAACCTCGCCGCCGCCGCCGCCGCCGCCGCCGCTGCCGCCCGAGGGATGCCGGGAGCTGCCGAAACCCGCGCCGGCCTCTCGCCTGTCCAGACCCGGCCAGTAGAGCTGGGAGTACGGGACGCTCCGTCAGGCCAGGCTAGCCGCCAGCCGAACTCCTACCTCCTCTCGCCGCCCGGGGTAACCCGCCTCCGCGCGCACGGGGCGGGGCTTTCACGTGGCGGACTGCGCCTGCGTGAAGTCGGCGGGGTCCTGCGCGGACGAGAAGGCCGGTGGGAAGGACCCCCTGGAGCGCGGCGCGGTGAGGCGAGGAGGGCGCGGCGGGGCGACGCGGCGCGGGGCGACGCGGAGCGGGGCTCCGGGCGGTGTTCACTGGGGGGACTTTTCCAGTGAGATCCTGTTCCCGGGTGGGGACGGGACGACGGAGGGGCCGCGAGTGTCGCAGCCGGGGTCGGGGCTGTCTGGTGAGACGATCGAGGCTCGAAAGGCCCTTGTGGAGGGGGTCGGGCTGGCCCGAGGGCCCCGGGGAGCGTCCGGGGAGGGACGCCCTACCCTACCCCCACCCCAGCACAGCGGCGGCGCGTTTCTAATTCAGGGGTTGTCATTACTGGCAGGTTAATGAGCCTGGGTAGGGAGGAAATTGCACCTTTAGTTTTCTCTGTGTGAAATGGGCATTTCCTTCCGTGACTGGCAGGTGTAGCGTTAACAGGGCCCTGAACTAAGTCGGGGTTTCTAGTGGGGATGACCGTCAGTGATGGTTGGAGGTAGAGTACGTGCAAGTTACCACAAGCCATCGTCTACACTAATCACTGCTGTGACAGGATCTTGGTGTTCGTGCGTCGGAAAAGCAGCCTATAGACTGGAATAGCAGGAACTTGTTTTTTTAAAACGTCTTAGTATCTATTTCGACATGGTTGGCTTTTTTTTTTTCTTGCAACGCTCAGCATTTCATTTAACGCACCTAAGCACTTTAATGTGGCTACTTGACAATGTAGAATTACGGATGTGCTCACGTTATGGTTCTGTTACGGTCGCAGGTTTCACCAGATGTCTGTACTGGTGTCAGGAAAGGCTAATACCCAGACCTGGGCTCACTGGCAGCCGGTTTCCACAGCTGGCGGGTGTCACCTTTGCACTCCACTACATGCTGCAAGATCCCCAGCAAGTCACTCCCCTTCCTGAGCCTCAGATATTTGTTTTTTAAGATATTATTTATTTATTCATGAGACACACACAGAGAGAGGCAGAGCCATAGGCAGAGGGAGAAGCAGGCTCCCTAGGGGGAGCCTAATGTGGGGACTCGATCCCAGGTTCCCCTGGATCACGACCTGAGCTGAAGGCAGAGGCTCAACCACTGAGCCTCCCAGGCATCCCTTGAGCCTCAGTTATTAATCAGTCTGCAGTCACTTAAAAGTCTTACCAACTGTGAACTTCTGTTACAACCAGATCTTAAAATAGTGTCATGGTGGCTATTCTGATACACGTTTTAAAGATCTTATTTATTTATTCATGAAACACATAGAGGCAGAGACACAGGCAGAGGGAGAAGCTGGCTCCATGCGGGGAGCCCGATGTGGGACTCGATCCTGGGACCCCAGGATCACACCATGAGCCAAAGGCAGACGCTTAGCCACTGAGCCACCCAGGTGTCCCGTGGTATTTTTTTATTAAAAAGTTTCAAAAAAAATTTAAAAATTAAAAAAAAAAGAGTTTCAAGTATGCAGACCAGGATCTCTGGTCTAGCACTGTCTAATAGAAATGTAATGCAAGCCATGTGTATGATTTATAATTTTCAAGTAGCCATGTTAAATAAAGCTGAAAAATTGTGAAAACTAATGTTAAATTTTTATTTAGCCCAGTATATCCAAAATTATTTCAACGTGTCAAAAGATGATTGTGTATAATTTGTCTACTTTTTTGGGCATAAAGTCTTTGAAATCAAGTGTGTAATTTATACTTAAAGCATGTCTTCATTTAGATAAGACGCATTTTAAGTGTTCAGTAGCCATATGTGGCTAGTGGCTACTGTATTGGACAACACAACTCTAGCCCACGTATCCACAAATTTTGCAGAAAAGGCATGCTTGAGATAACTTCCCTGTGCAGAGGCCCAGATGGTATTTTTTTTTTTAATTTTTTTTTTTTAATTTTTATTTACTTATGATAGTCACAGAGAGAGAGAGAGAGGCAGAGACACAGGCAGAGGGAGAAGCAGGCTCCATGCACCGGGAGCCCGACGTGGGATTCGATCCCGGTCTCCAGGATCGCGCCCTAGGCCAAATGCAGGCGCCAAACTGCTGCGCCACCCAGGGATCCCTGGTATTTTTTTAAATAATACATTATAATAGCTTTAACTTTTGAAACAGCAGTAAATGAGATATGTAAAGATCATTTAATCTTTACAACCTTATGGTGAAAAAGCAACAACCTTACGGTGAGGTCAGTAGGATCATCATCTTGCAGTTGAAGAAATGTATGCATAGAAACGTCAAGGAACGGGCCTAGTCACATAACAGCTGTGGCTAGGACTCAAATTCCGTTCTGACTTCAGTGGTCTCTCAGATCATGGCTTGATAATATCAATAGCTTATGTCTGTTGGGGGCTTACTGTGCCAGCACTGTGCTGCACACCATGTATCTGAGCTTCATTCAGTCATTGCTACAGGACTGTGTGGGCAGTGTTTGTAGTTAACCCCAGTTCACAGGGCAGGAGACTGAGACCAGAGCAGTGAGTGCCCCAGGACTCATGGGTGGTTGTTTGGCAAAACCGAAATCTGAAAGTGGGCTTTCTAATATCAGTGCTCATGCTTGTAATCCATTCTCTGTCTTCTTTCTGCCTTTTGTGACTACAAACCCAAGTAGACTTCATTATATTACTGACCTGTGCCAGACCCTGGAGGAAAAAGCCAGAGTTGGACCTCATGAGATTTGCTCAGCTTTTCTCCCGCTTCCGCCCTGTGGGACTGTCCGCCCTCCAGCACCTTGACCCTCTCAGAGTCAAATGGGCAGGAGGCAGGGAGGGGCCCACATGGCTGAGGGCTGCGTGGCTGACTCAAGCCTGCAGCAGCTCCCCCTTGCAGCTGCCCATTGGCCAGGGGAACCAGAAGAATGCGAGCAGCCTCAGCTCTGACCTGAGCCAGCCTGGCCCCACGGCCACTCAGGAAGAAGAGGAAGAGAGCTTTGGGACCCTCTCCAGCAAGTACTCTTCGAGGAGAATGTTCCGAAAGTCAACAGCCCAGTTGTATAACCTCCGGCTCAGGGAACAGAGTGCTGGAGACGAAGAAAGAGATCTGGAGCCAAAGTCATGGCGGGGCCGGAAGAACACCCCTTACTGGTACTTCCTTCAGTGCAAACACCTGATCAGAGAAGGAAAGGTGAGGGGACCTTTGGATTCTGTTGGTCCTGGTTCTACTTCCTCTGTAGCCTAGTGTTTTGGAGGAGCCACCTTACCTAACCTCTACATACTTAGATGCTCAGGGCTCTTCTCTGTCTTCACTCACTCTGGTTGCTACACCAGGTGATCTGCCACCCCCTGGCTTTCAGGCCCCCCCTTCACTGCAGTTCTTCTGTTCTTCTCTCCAGCCCAGCGCTCCCCATCTGTATATCCAGCTACCTCACCAGCTCCCTTACACCCACCCACACTGGCCTGAAATTTTGGTTCTCAGCCTTGTTTTGACTGCACTGTTTTCATCTCATTAAATGGCGATCCTACTGTTTCATCTGTCCAGGTCAGAAGCCTTTGCGCCATCCCTGACTCTTCTGTTTCTCTCTCCAGCTGGAGCTTTAAAATATGACCAGTCTTAACCCTTCTTGTAGTATTCCCCCTGAAAGCCCAGGCCTCGCCTTATCCTCAGCTCCTCAGCTATCACAACACTTGTAAGTGGGCTGCCTGCTGTTCTCACCACCTCCTTCTCCCATGTCTGTGCACAGTGCAGAACCACCCTGTTAAAGCAGAAAGCAGATTATGTTACTCTTCCTGCTAGGACTCGCAAATGTGTTCAATGACATTGATGTTCGTATTCTTAGGTGTTGATAATGACGTTGCACGTATGTTTAAAAATTTCTTAGAGGTATATGTTGAAGATTTGGGGAATGAAATAATGGAATGTCTATAAATGTGCTTTATTTTTTGTAAATATTTTATTTGGGGGGGAGAGAGCATAAAGAGAATGAGCACGAATGAGGAGAAGAGGCAGAGGTAAAAGGACTCCACCCCCCATGTGGGATTTGATCCCAGGATTTGGGTTCATGACCTGAGCATGAAGCCACCCAAGCACCTTGTAAATGTGCTTTAAAAAATCAATTTGGGGGTGCCTGGGTGGCTCAGTTGGTGAAGCGTCTAACTCTTGATCTCAGTTCAGGTCTTGATCTCAGAGTCATGAGCTCCAGCCCCATGTTGGGGTCCATACTGGGTATAGAGCCTGCTTTAAAAAAAAAAAAAAAAGGTTCAGTGTGGAGTGGGAGTACAGAGTGTGCATGAACAAGATTGTTAATCATTGTAGTTATTTTTACTTTTGTGTATGTTTGAAGTTTTCCATAATGAAAAATTGAGAAATAAAGAAAAGCCAAAGTCTTCACAAAAGCTTATGAAGCCTGCAAGGTCTGCCTTCCACTCCCCTTACCTCTCTACTCTTATCTCCCCTTCCCTCACTGCTATAACCATCCTGGTCTCCTCTCTGCTTCTCCAACTCCCAGGTACACTCTTGACTCAGGGCCTTTGCACTGTTTTCTCATATAGTGGTGTTTTTTCCCTTACCTCCTTCAGATTGTTGTTCTGTCACCTTTTGAGTGAAGCCCTGCTTGGCTGTCATATCTAAAACTGAATCTTCCAGGGTGCCTGACTGGTTCAGTTGGTTAAGTGTCTGCCTTCAGCTCAGGTTATGATCTTAGGGTCCTGGGATAGAGCCCTGTGTTGAGCTTCCTGCTCAGTGGGGAGTCTGCCTCTCTCTCTCTCTCTCTCTCTCTCCCTCTGCTCCTCCCCCTCTGCTCATGATCTCTCTCACTCTCTCTCGAATAAATAAATAAAATCTCTTAAAAACCCAGGAAAATCTCGCATACCCTTTTTTCTGGCACTTCTTGCTTTATTTTTGTTTTAAAACCTATCACTGGGGCACCTGGGTGGTTCAGTCAGTTAAGCATCTGCCTTCGGCTCAGGTCCATGATCCCAGGCTTCTCCCCCTCCCAGGCCCTGCTCGTGCTCTCTCTCACTTTTTCTCTGTCTCTCTTTCAAATAAAATCTTAAAGAAAAAAACAACAACCTATCACCATTTGACATAGTACATATTTTTTTTTATTTCACCTGGCATTTGTCTTTTCCACATTAGAAAATGTGTTCCATGAGGAGCCTCCCTCTCGTTCATGGCTATATCCCCAGCAAATGGACCTTGCCTGGTACATAGTAGGATTCAGTAATTACTGGTTGAACCAATGGATGAAAACAATAATTAAGTTGTAAGGGGGTGAACTGAGGATTTAAAGGAGATGGTATTGGAGTAGGGATGGGGTAGAGATGACTGTGGGCTAAGGGGATTTGCAGCCAGAGGAAGCTGGTCACTCAGGGCTGCTGTCTTATGCCATCTCAGAAGGCTGCTGCTGTGAATGGCCCCATGTGGTTGTGCCACACAGTGGCCCCAAGTGTGCCCACCATTCTGGCCAGAATCCAATCTCCCATACCACTTAGGCCCAAGGCGCTGCCACTATAGGTGGGGTCACCAAGGAAGTAAAGGCAGGGCAGATCCCAGGATTTGTAGAATTAACATTTTCTGAGGACCTACTGAGGGCCAGGCTCTGGCTCCACTCTAGGCCCACAAGGAGACAAAGACATGGCCCTGCTTTCGAGGAGTTCATTGTCTGGCTGGGGGGAAGGCAGCCATGGCAACAGGACCAAGAGCTTTTGTAGGTGGTGGGAATTTAGTGGGCTTTTCTTCCTGGCCACCCTGAAGCTCCCTTGCTGCAGAGCCCAGGGACCAAGAGGCTGGTAGCAGAGGCCCAGGACAGCTGTGTGGCTCCTGGGCAGGCTGGGGGGGGGGGCAGGGGGAGTCCCTCAGTCTCAGTTTCCCTCTCTTTGCTGAGGGTCTCTGAGGCCTCCCTAAGCACCCCTCCCCCCATGTCCCTTCTCCCTGCAGCTGGCTGAGGCCCTGGATCTGTTTGAGCGGCAGATGCTGAAGGAAGAGCGACTTCAGCCCCTTGAGTGCAACTACACTGTACTGATCGGGGGCTGTGGGCGGGCCGGATACCTGAAGAAGGCCTTCAGGCTCTACAACGATGTGAGTGCAGGGCTGGGGGCAGAGGGGTGGGTAAGGCTTCAGAGGGCATGGGTTTTTGAGGCAGAAGGAGCTGGGTACGCATGGCAGGATGTCAACTGCTGGGACATTACCATGGCCAGATTAACCTCCTGGCCTCTGTTTCATCCTCTGTAAAGTGGAGGGGATCTTGGATGATTACGTGAGATGGGTGGAAAGTCTTCCATTCCCTGACTGGACTGCAGCAGCTCCCCCTCCCCCCACTCTGCCTCCCTTCTCCACTGCTGCTCCTGTTGTGTTCACATTGTCTCACCCTTACTCTCCACATGGGATACATATACACACTTTGCTTCCAAAGCTGGTCCTTTGGAAAGGGGCTCTTATGCCTCTCGGAAGGTGGTTTCACTTTATATTCATCCACTCCTTGTGTTGTATTTATTTTCAGAGCTGGGAAACTATGTCCTTTGTAGTCGTGAAAGCTTTGCCTAAGAGGATAGTAGGCTCTAGTTGAAATAATCCAACCCTCTCTTGCAGCCAGAAGCTTGGGAACATCCTTTATCCCAGCAAGACTTACTGTCATTTGGGATGTACCTCCTCGAGGCCTGATCATCTGTAGCTGGAAGCAAGGGGGAGGAATTGTGGTTCCAAATGATAAAATAACATAGTCTCGGAAAGACCTAAGGACCCATCACTGTAGAGAAAGACAGGAAGCTTCCCTGACAAGCCACCTAGCAGCAGAGCATTCAGGTGCTAAGTGAGGGTCAGCTAGTGCCAGGGGGGTGTTTGTTGTGTTTTTTGGTTCACAGTCCAATAGCAGCTCTTAACTCACATTTGAGAGGATCCTTAAGTCACCACCTGTCACCTCAGAGATGTACAGTTTAGTACAGTTTACTCTTTCTTACCTTAAGTTATTCTCTGTCAGTTTGCTTCTTTTTTTTTCCAATAAATTTTTTACTTTGGGATAATTTCAGATTCATAGAAAAAGTGCAAAGACGTAAAGAAAATTCCCGAATACCCTTCCCTCAGCTAATCCCTGTAGTAGCATCTCATGCCTTGACGGTCTATTTATCAGAACTGAGAAACCACTCTTGGTGCATTACTAGAAACTGAACTCCAGATTTTATTTGGATTTCACCTTTTTTTCCCACTGAGATCTTGTTTCTTTTCCTGTATCCAGTCTGGGTCCCCACACTGGCTTCTCCATTTTGTGATACTTTTTGAATTTCCTTTTTGTCCATGACATTGACAGATTTCAGGAGTACTGGTCAAGGATTTTTTTTTTTTTAAGATTTTATTTATTTATTCATGAGAGACACAGAGACAGAGAGAGAGGCAGAGACACAGGCAGAGGGAGAAGCAGGCTCCATCATGCAGGGAGCCTGATGTGGGACTTGATCCCAGGTCTCCAGGATCACGCCCTGGGCTGAAGAGGGCGCTAAATTGCTGAGCCACCCCGGCTGCCCTGGTCAAGGATTTTGTAGAATGTCTCTCCATTTGTACTTGTGACAAGGCTGTGGTTATGGGCTTTGGGAAAGGCTGTCACAGAAGCAAAGTGTCCTTTTCCTGCCAGGGGACTTAGCACACGTGACAGATACCTTGGTCACTTGGTGAAAGTGCTGTTTGCCAGGTTTCTGCCCCTATTCCATTTTTCCGTGTGCGTGCTTAGCCGCCCTCATTACTGTTGTTGATTTTTTCTTTGTCTGTTATGTTTCGTCCTACCTGGAGTGTAAGCTCAATGCAAACAAGCAGTATCTGTCCCGGTAACCACTGGTAGCCAGTGCCTGGCTTACAGTAAGTCCTCAGGACACATTTGTCATGTACATGAGTTCACACACGGCATACATCATCCTCATAGTTGGATCACCATCCTCATTTTTCAGATGAGGAAACAGTAGCCACCATGTTTGAGGTGAAGTGCCATGCCAAGGTCACCATGCTTGTGAGCATTGGAGCTGGGATTTGAGCCCCAAACAGCCTGACTCTGAGCACAAGGCTCTTTTTTTAAAAGATACTTTATTTACTTAGAACAGGCAGGGGGATCTGCAGAGGGAGAGGGAGAAGCAGGTAACCCACTGAGCAGGGAGCCCGATGCGGAGCTGAGAGAGCATCAGGAGGATTCTGCTAAAGGCATCTCAGGCCCAGAGTGGGCTGACAGCCATGGGGAGGATGACGCTTTGCTTGGTGCATCTGGAGGGCAGGTTTTCATAGGCCCTCTGGCTGAGTCAGGGTTTTGGAGAAGTAGGCTCTGACATGTCACTCAGCTCCACCTTAGCACAGGTCTTGCCAACTGGCCTGTTAAATGCAGGAACAGAGTCCTTTCCAGCTTTCCCTCAGGGTGGCTGTCACCTGTTTGTCCAGCTGGCCCAGAGCTACCTTCAAGTTTCTTTCCATCTCCACAGATGAAAAAACGGGACCTGGAGCCCACAGATGCCACGTACACAGCCCTATTCAATGTCTGTGCTGAGTCTCCCTGGAAGGACTCTGCTCTGCAGAGTGCCCTGAAGCTCTGGCAGCAGCTCCAGGCCAGAAACTTCCAGCTCAACTTAAAAACATACCATGCACTGCTGAAGATGGCTGCCTTGTGCGCAGACCTCAGGATGTGCCTTGATGTGTTCAAGGTGAGGGTGCCCCTTCCTTCCTTCTTCCCCACCCAGGGCCAGTCCCATGTGGCAGATGTGAGGCTATGGCTCTTGATGCCCCTCACGCAGGAAGATTCAGGGGCTGATGAGGAGTCGGGCTTGGGTTCACCAATTGGCAGAGGCCTCAGTCTGACAGATAAAGAAGCCCTGCCCCTAGGAGGGTAGTGGGTTGTGTGTGCTACTGTGTGCTACGACTCCGTGTGAGATTCCTTGGTGCCATAGAGGAGGGCAGGGCATCACAGCACTAAGGATGAATCAATGCTCACCGGGGAAGGTATCCTGCTTAAAGCAGTGGGAACAAAAGTCGCTGGTTTCCAGGAGGTGCCAGGTTTGAGGGAAGCAGGTGGTGAGCAAGGGCATGGGATTGCTGAGCAGGGTCTTGTCTGCATCAGTGCTTTGGCTCATAGTCACTCTCTCCCTCTCTTTTTTAATGTGCTCCATGCTGGAGTTCAGAGTTCATGTGGGGCTTAAACTCTCGACCCTGAGATCAAGACCTGAGCTGAGATCAAGAGTTGGATGCTTCACTGAATGAGCCATCAAGGTGCTCCCTGTAGCTGCTTTTATTCCCTAGCTATAAGAAGGGTTTTTATCCCCAGTTCCAGAGGAGACCGTGAGGAGGTTTAAGCAGGGAAGACCAGGACCGGGGTGGTAGTTCTGCTCTCTTGGGTTGGGAAGGGAGGCAAACGTGAATTAACACCTAAAGGAAGGCTCTAGGTCCTCACAACTAAACCTCAGGAGAATTTCAGCATGCCCTTGGCAGCCTTGTCTTCCCTCAGGCCCATGGACACGCTCATTCTCTGCTCTTAGGTTCTGTCTTGCTTTTCCCACTGCTGACTGATGCTTTTCCTCACTGCATGTACTGAGGTCCCACCTGCCCACCACAGGAGAAGGGGCCTATTGGATCGTCCAGGCACCACGTGGTGCAGAGCAACCTGTGACCAGCCTCTGGGTTGGCTGCCTTGAGGTGGCCTGCTCTGCAGGAGAGGCAGGATCATGGGGTCTCAACCCTGGAGACCTCCTTGAGAGCGATAAATCCTTCCCAAGGGTGCCATGTGAGTTGGTAGTTGAAGCCTCCAGAAGAGGGCAGTGTGGCTGATTGGCCTCTGACCTGTCCAGAGATGTCATTGATATTTTATGCAGGTCAGTCTGTGGGGAGAGAGACCAGTTAAGAGACAGCTGGGAGATAGTCCCAGACAGAGCACAGACTAAAACCTCACTGAGAGGGGTGCCTGGATGGCTCAGTCAGTTAAGGGTCTGCCTTCAGCTCAGGTCATGACACCAGGGTCCTGGGATTGAGCCCCGTGTTGGGCTCCCTGCTCAGCAGGGAGTCAGCTTCTCCCTCTCCCTCTGCCCCTTCCCCTGCTTATGTGCGCATGTGTGTACACTCTCTCAAAGAAATAAGATCTATAAAATGATAAAACCTCTCTGAGGTGGAAGGGTTGGTGACGGGGGGAGTCAGAAGGGGCTGATGGTGGGGTAGGGTGGGAACACCTATGCTCACAAGAGGGACAGAGGAAGACAGGCTCGAGGAGGAGACCCTTAGGAGCTGAGGGGTGGAAGAATATTTCAAGAAGGCAATGGCCAAGCCTGATAGGCTCGAGAGAGGCCAGGTGTAACAAGTGTCATAAAAATGTGCATGGGCACTATACCTTGTTGTGGAGGTGTTCCAGAGATCCTCCAAGGCAAGTCCTGCCTATGACCCTGCTCTCTGGATGAGGAGGCTGAACCCAGGGAGCTTCATGCCTTGCCCACACTCACAGTTAGCCAGTATCAAAGCTAGGACTTGAAGCCAGCTCTGTGCAATTTCAGTGCCTTGAGCACAGGGGCTAAAACTGGCTGCTGTGGTGGTCTTTGCAGAGGGTCTACCCAAAAGTGATCACGTCAACCAGGAAGAGCAGCCTAGAAGGAGAGGAGGAGGGAGTGCAGGCAGCAATTGGACAGCTCTGCTCAGGGGCTGGTTCTGAGCCATTCCAAAGCCAGATTCAGGTCCCACCTCTTCTAGATGCATGGCCATGGCTTGCCCCAGGAGTGTCTGCCCTGAGTCAGACCCATTGGGCCTGGGCTCTGCCACAGGTTCGCAGTATGGCCTCTACTCCCTCCTCCAGGAAATCGTCCAGAAAGGGCATGCAGTCACAGAGGAGACCTTCAGTTACCTGCTCATGGGCTGCATCCAGGATAAGAAGACGGGTTTCCGATACACCCTACAGGTCTGTCCCTTCCAGCTCTTTCTGCCTCTCCCGCTGCCCCCTTCCCACGTGCACCTGTGTCAGGTGCAAATGATGACCACGTGTGCATTTGAGCACCTGTGACTGCCCCTTGCAGGTGTTGTTATGTTTGCAATAGTTTGGCCTTCACAAAGCATGCTGCTTCCGGCCGTTTTACAGATGGTGGGGGAGGAGGGCCTTAGAAGGGGCATGGCTGCTGCCACGTGAGGGCACAACCAGCCCATGCTCTTTCACTCTGCTGAGTGGCCTTCCATGCCACTGGCTCAGATCGGCTAAGCTTACAGTCTCTGAAGGCCTGCAGCACACTTACGTGGAATGTTTGTTCCAGCTCACCTCCCACAGGCCCACACTCAGCATCTCTGCAGGTGGGACCCAGGGATCTTTAGTTAGTCCTGAGAGATGTGCATGGACATCAGAGTTGAGACCCATTGCTCTGATTCCACCTCAGATCCCCTGAGAGCACTGCCTCCCTGGCCCTAGGCAAGTGAGGTGCCGGTAGTAGCAATGGTGCCAGAGCTCCCCTGGAGCTCTTCAACTTAAGGTGGGGCCCACAGACCTGCAGCATTAACCTCCCCTGGGAGCTTGTCAGAAGAGCAGGGTCTCAGCCCCACCTGGGCCTCCTGCATCCATATCAACATTTCAGCAAGATCCCCAGGTGGTTGATCGACACGGAGGCTGAGCCCCAGTGACCTGGGACAGCCCTGGACCCAATGCATGCCTCTCCTCAGCAGACTCTGAAAGCAGGAGCTTTATGGTAAAAACCAGCCAAGATCTAGTTCCTTGCTTTCTTTGTTCTAGGTCTGTTGTAGTTAGAAATGCTAATAGCTGGCTTGTGTTGTGCACTTATTAAACTGCTCAACCTAAGCACCATCAGCCCTGTTTTACAGACAAGGAAACTGAGACTCACAGAGGTTGAGTAAGTGGCCTAAGGTCACACAGCTATTAAGCAGATCTGGGATTTGAACTGAGGCCCATCTGACTCCCAAGAACCTGAATCTGTGCTAAACCTCAGGTCTCTGCTGAGACCTTTGCCCTACTTAAGACCCTGTCTGGTGGGCAGCAGACCTCTTGCAGGTTGCACCCACCTGGGCCTGACTGACTCCTGCCTTGTCTGCACACTTACCCCTGATGAAGACAGAAAGTTAGATGTGAGATCTCATCCCACCAAATGTGGCCACCCTTTGAGCCCACAAAGAAGCCAGTGTGACCAGTGAACCCTGTGTGGCATCTCCTGGCACCTTAGAAACGATGTCAGAGTGACCCAGACATGATCAGAGTGGCCCTTTGTGGAGAACACACTGAGTGTGCTAGGTGCTGTGTTGTGGGGTGAGAATGAGCTCATCTCAAGAGGAAACAGGGCTGCCCCAGCTTGGGGGGTGCTCTTCCTGGCTGAACCCCCCCTTGCACTGTCCCTGCCCTGTGTTCTTATACTTCCTGGAGGCTGCATGGGGCAGGACATGCAGTGGGCACTCAGGAAGTGTCACTAAATCCAGCTCTTAAGTCAGCCTAGACTCTTTCAGGATGTAGCCTCTCTGATATCCCTCCCCAGAGTACAGAGAAACTGGACAGAGATCCAGGGCGAAGTCTATTCCCAGTACGGGGGCTCTGGAAGAGGGCAGAGAGATGAAAGTGGGAGAACAGTTTGGGGATGAGCTAGAGAGAGAAAAGGAGTAGCACCCCTGTGAAGTCTTCCAGAGAGTCCTCAGTCTCAGGATTCTTAGTTGTCTAGAGCTGGGCATTGGGTTAGATGCTTTTAGCTCTTTTCTGTGCCCTTTGTATTTGCCAAATGGTTGTTTATTCCCTGTGTCTGCTCTGCTTAAGCCTCTTCTGAGGAGTGCAGAGCCTGAACTTCTCTCTTCCTGGCAGGTGTGGAGGCAGATGCTGAGTCTGGGGCTCCAGCCGAGCCAGCATGGCTACAACCTCCTTTTGGGGGCAGCTCGAGACTGTGGCTTGGGGGACCCGGAGGTGGCCTCAGCACTGCTCCTGAGGCCCAGGGAGGAGACGGTCCTGCTCCAGCCCCGGGCAGGTGGGTTTCGGACAAGGAAGAGAGCCCAGGCCCGGGTGGGCGATGGCATGTCAATCAGGCACGTGGAGGCCCTGGAGAGGCAGCTGTTTCTGGAACCTTCTCAGGTAGTTGAGGGCCTTCCAGAGCCTCGTGAAGCCAGAGCCCCCAGCAAGGCCCAGCCTGAGGTGGATACCAAGACGGAGCCTGACCACATGGTGACCCTTACTTCATTGGCCTCAGAACCTTCTCGCTGGGGACTGGAGGCCAACCTCCTGACCTTGGGAGCAGTCCCCCCAGCTGTGGTCTCCTTTGGGACTGTAACCACCCCAGCTGACAGGCTGGCCTTGATGGGGGGCCTGGAGGGTTTCTTGGGCAAGATGGCAGAGCATGGGCTCAAGCCCAATATCAAAACCCTCACACTGCTGGCTGAGGTGGTAGAGCCTGGGAGTCCTGCAGAGTCCTCACTGCTGACTGTCCTGGACACGCACCAGGTGGAAGCTGACGTGACATTCTTCAACACATTGATGAGGAAGAAGAGCAAGCTTGGCGATCTGGAGGGGGCGAAGGTGAGGGGCATGGAGGCAGGCACCAGATTCAAGAGGAAGGTTCCTCTGACCTTCCAGCTGCAGGACCTGGCTCCCCTGCAGGGGACGTCACCCATTCCCGCAATAGGTGGGCAGGCTGAGTAGAGCCTCTGTTCTGGGCCTGGGCTTGGGCAAAGCTGAGAACTGAGTGGTGAAGCAGCCAGCTGTACTGCTCATCCCCATTGAGGAGCTTACAGATGGATGCAGACAGACACCAAACACATCCTCACTGTCCCGAGGGGCACAAGGCATACAGGAGCTTGGGACCTGAGTGTCCCCACCCTTCAGCCCACACCCTCTGACCGCCCCCCACACACACACAACAGTCCTCCACTAAATGCTGTTCCACGAGCTTCCCATCCATTCCTCTTTTCACTGACCACACCACCAAGGCTCTGCTGGTACGAGGCTTCCTGCATTTCACAGAGGGGGCACTGAAGCCCTTGTGGGATTTTGTCCACGTATCTCTAAAGCCTCTTTTGTCAGAGCACTGACCTCTCGTGGACATCAAAGGTGGCAGAGATAGAGCTTCTGCCTTCAGGCCCACAGTGCAGAGCGCACCTTCCTCTAGACAAGCTGAATGTGAGAGCCCCTCCCTGAGCCAGCCAAGCTGCCAGGGCATCTTTCTTCCTACCCCAGCCCTCGCAGTCTCATCTTTACTTCCCATACTGCTGTTGGCATTGTCTGCAGCCCTGGGCTGTGGGGTCAGATGACATTGAAGGCCTGAGTGCTGGGATGGATTGCCAGCAGAGGAGCAGAGAGGCACAGGAATATGAACGGCTTCAGGGAGAGGGGAGCGCATGTCTGAGACAGGCTGGAAGGCAGGGTGTCCTCGCAGAGGGACTGAACTCCGAGGAGCTGGGTGCTCACAAGCCAAGCTGAGAACAGCATCCAGTGTGGTCACACAGGGAGCTGTGAAGCCTCTGAGCAGAGCTGTGCCCCCAAGGCCTCTAGTCAGCCATGGAGCTTCAACTGAGAAGGCTCTTGCCAGGCCTGGTAGTGTCATATCTGTCCCCACAGGCGCTGCTACCACTCCTGGCAAGGAGGGGAATCATCCCCAACCTGCAGACCTTCTGCAACCTGGCTATTGGGTGCCGTAGGCCCAGGGATGGTCTGCAGCTGCTTGCAGACATGAAGGTGAGTGGGTCCAATCCTAGGTGGAACCCATGGTGCTACGAACTTGGGAGGTGCTCAGGAAGAATGCTGAGCCCCCCCTGAACCCCCAGGCCTCCCCACCCTGACAGCATAAACTGTGTGTGAGGGCAGGGAGAATGGGATCACTCTCGCTTCAAGTGTAGAATGGTCATTGGCCCAGGTGGAGAGAAAGTGGACCCTGCTGCAGGAACTGGCATTGAAAACATGGGGTGTTCCAGTTTTGAAGGTGGTTGCAGTGGGGAGAGCTTGAGGGGTGAGGACAGGTCTTGGCCCCAACTCTGGATGGATATATGTCAGAATTCTAGGGGCAGGGGTTGCAGTAAACCACAGCCAAGAGCTGAGGAGGTGGTCTCCTGCACATGGTTTACTGCCCGAGTCCAGTGATCTCTGAGCAAGTTCTTCAGGGCTGAGAGGGTAGGGTCCTCAGTTGGGGGGATGGACCTACAGTGTGGGGCACATGTGCTTTCCTTTTTGGAGTGGGGGGGTACACCCTGTTGTTGCCACAAGGTACTGACCTTGCCCCAGTTGCTGGTCTGCAGAGCAGACCTAAATGGCCTGACATGCACAGTGGGCTGCTTTGTCCCAACAGTTGCCGTCACGTCACTGATTGAATGTTTATGTTTCTGTTCCAGAAATCCCAGATGACCCCCAACACCCACATCTACAGCACCCTCATCAACGCGGCCCTCAAGAAGCTGGACTACACCTATCTCATTGACATCCTGAAGGACATGAGGCAGAACAGAGTCCCGGTGAATGAGGTGGTCATCCGCCAACTAGAGTTTGCAGCCCAGTACCCACCTACCTTTGATCGGGTGTGTACCTCAACTCTAACTCAGAGTCCTCTAATCACCCCACCTACCCATTACCCCAGGTCTGGCCTTGAGGAATTGGAATTCCCTTGCTTTAAATGTCAGTTGCTTCCCTTAGGAAGAATCCCAAATTCCTTAAACCACAGCCCATGTGTCCCTGTGGACTACATCTCAGGCCACTCTTCCCTGTATTCACTGTCATCCCTGGTCTTCCATCATTTCTGTGTAACATCAGCCTTTCCTGCCTTGCGGTTTTTGTAGTCCCTCTACCTTCAGTAGGCTCCTCATTTTTCCTATAACTGGCTCCTCACCCTGTAGGTCGCAGCTTGGATGGCTTTCTCAGGGATGCCCTGCTGCTCCCTCCTTCCCATCACCTAGAGCACTGTTCCTTTTCGGCCATTTCACAACCTGTAATTGCATCTGCATGTGTGACTGTCACCTTCACAAAACCTAAGCCCCTGGAGCTGGAGACTGACTGTCTTCTTCACCTGGCTCTCTGGTACCTGTTCATTGCCTGGTGTCTGTTGTCAAGTGAATGGGGATGGCAGCAGAGCTGTGATAGAATCTTTTATTTTTTTTATTTTTTAAAGATTTATTTATTCATTGGGGGAGGGGGGAGCAGAGACACAGGCAGAGGGAGAAGCAGGCTCCATGCAGGCAGCCTGACGTGGGACTCAGTCCCGGGTCTCCAGGATCTGGCCCTCAGCCAAAGGGTTCATTTTTAGGGTCCATTGAGACCCTGTGTTGAGTGCCTCCAAAGCAGCTGCACCATGGAGGAACACCACCCCGGTGTGGAGGGAGATGGGCAAGGACACACCCAGGCATGGGGTCAGGGACAGCTATCCAGGTGCAACACTCAAGTGCCATTGTGAAGGCTTAGAATTCAGGAGACAGTAGAGTGTATGCCAGGAGAGGGCATAGCTGGGCATCTTTGAGCAGTTGGTTGACTCTTGTCTTAGTGACTTTTCAGAGTTCTTTGTGTTCTGGATATTTATCTTTTGTTCCATGTTACAAGTATCTTCTAGTTAGCAGATTTGTCTACTCCGTGGTGTGGAGTCCTCAGGGGATTATCTCAGGTTCAATTCAGACACCAGACCACCGTAGGCCTAAAGCTTACTGGATTCAGGTCACATTCATATTCCCTTAGGAAGGTGATTTATTTCTATTTGTGACCATCAGCTTTTTGTTTTACGTACTTTCAAGGCTGTATTAGGTACATACAAGTTTAGAATCGTTAAATCTTTGAATCCAGCTGTCTGTCATCGTGTGGTAATAGTCTTGATCGTGAAAAAAAAACAGTCTTGGTCTTGGATCTCTTTGGTGTTTTTCTCTGTATTCCTTTACCAGCTTTCTTTTGGCCTCTGCTGGGCCCACCTTGTTTCCTCCTTTTCTTCCCCACTCCTGCAGACCACTGCAGCAGTGCTGAGAGGACACAGGGGAGGTACTCAGGCTGGAGAGACAGTTAGTGGCACCCAGGGATTCTAGCTTGGGGGCTGAGGTGCCATCCCCGGGTGTAGCACAGGAGCACATATTTGGAGGGATTGTTAGATGGGAATCTGGTCTGCCCCACAGCAGCTATGTTTCTTGACAGTAAGCTACTCAGGTATCAAACAGTTCTTCTGCCCTCTCCCCTTAACCACCTAGAAGCACAAACAGCTTTCCTGAGGCTTGAGTCAGCTGCCATGGTTTGGGATTAGCCATAGGTAGCATGCAGTGACTAAAGGCTCCTCTGAAGTCCATGCTTTTCCATTTATAGTACAAAGAGAAAAACACCTACTTGGAGAAGATTGATGGCTTCCGAGCTTACTATAAGCAGTGGCTGAAATCGATGCCAGCAGAGGAAACCCCCCATCCGTGGCAGAAGTTCCGGATCAAGCCCATGGGAGACCAAGAGTCCACCACGGAGGCTGATATGGACAGAAGCCTTGGAGGCAGGTGACAGGAAGTGCTGGGGGCCTCCAGCAGAGAAGGAGCAGAGTGTGTGGTTTATAGAGCTCTATAGGAGCCCCAGGAGCCTCTCTGCATTGGGCCTGTGTGTGTACTCCTGTGGCCTCAAGCCAGAGGAAGGGTGCGGCCTAGAGTAAGTGATGCAGCATTTTTCAGGCATTGTTACAAGGAGAAACACTGGGCCCAGGGTGCCTGACAAGTTCATGGCAGGTCCAAGAGCAGCTTGGTCCATCTTGGCACCCCATCTCTGGTCACATCCTTGTCTTGGGGGGGGGGTGTCATCCCCATCATGGACAAAGAAAGTGAACTTGCTCACAGTCACACAGCACCAACAGGGTGCTTGAGGTCCATGGGTGACTGTTCTCTAGGGCCTGGTGCTTACCCCCTGGGTTCCACAGATTGCTACCTCTCTGAAAGAATAAATGCAGAACCCAGAAAGTTTAAAGTTTTATTTCTACAAATCACTGATAAACACCAAAGCCTTTACATACGGAGACCATGCTCCAACTCAGGCCAGGAGCACTGCTCTGCAGGAAAAGCTGCTCCTAGGAAAGAGGGTGGCACCACGGGCAGAAACCCAAGAAGTCCAAAGTTCAGGATGAAGAGGGGTCAGGGCCTAAGGACCTCAGCCAGAGCAGCCCCGGCAGCCGCAGTGCGTGCACTCGATGATCCGGCCCTGCAACAGAGGATAGCTGAGACACTGCACTCCTGCCACATGCCACCCCTGCCCCACGGAACCCTCCCACCAAGGATGGCAAAGGGACATTCGCGGTCTTCAGGACTCTCCTCGGAAAGCCTTCTGCGACAGATGCAAACAGTTGCTATTGACACTGAAGCTACACCTCTATGCATTTAATTTATGCACATTCAATGCACACACTTGCCCCATATAAAGGAATAAAATCTGTGAATGATTGTTATTCTGTGAAATGAGCATGACATACCCTGCAGTGAGCTGGAAGTGGGTCTGCTACTGCTCAGGGGGCTCAGTGTCCGGGGCTCAGGCCCTCTGGGCTGGGAACTTTCTTATTGGGGCAGAAGATATGCACTGGAATTTAGATGGCAGAAGAGTCTTTCCCCCTGGGTCAGCTGTGCCCAGATGTTTGGCTGAGGGCCTGCCCAACAGCCAGAGGCCCCAGAGCTATGGTTTGTGTTTATTTTCCTTTTATTTTTATTTTTATTTGAGGAGCAAGGCCCTTACCTAAGCAAACAAGATCAGATGGTGAAACCTAACTAAATTGAAAGCAAGCTCTATTCTGGCCACAAGGCTGGGGCAGCACCCCTAACCAAATGCCACCATAGAATCCTGGCAGGGAGCTTAGGCACTCCACCACTTCTCCCTGCTCCCACCAGAAAACCAGCACCCAGATTCTTCCTCAGGAAGAATGTGATATCCTTGGGCCCTCATTCGATGTTCATTGTTCCCTGGCCTTAGAGATGATTCAGGGAGACAGAGCTGCCTGCCGAGCTAAAGTCCCCGGCCCAGAGCTCTATAGACTATATAACTGGTCTGCAGCAGGAAGGGACCTGTGGTGAGGCACAAGTGTGAAAGGTAGCCACCTGGGAGGTGGGCAGGCTGGCCTGACTGCCCAGCTGGGCCCACCATGGTCAGCCACGGGGCCGCACTCAGAGGCCACTAAGGTGAACATTCTGGTAACTGCCTCCTGCAGTTCTACTTCAGAGAGGCTTATATGCTGTAGGCTCAGTTACACATACAGCACCATGCCTGAGCTGCCCAGCTGCGGGTCTAGTTTTAGAACAAAGTTCTGACAGAAGCAATACAATGTAATTAATCTGAGGGAAAGAGATCTGGCGAAAAGTATCTGGAGTGAGCACAGGAGGGGAAGAATGGAAATGCCTCCCCTAGCCCAGCCCTCCTCACCCCCACTTCCTATGTGAGGAAGGAATTCAGTAACTTGCCCAAGGGTGCAGTTGAGACTGGCCCCAGACCTAACAAATGATTGCTGCCAAACTGCCTAACACGGATTCTTCAGGAGAGGGACATGGCCTCCCTAGGGCATGGCCAGCAGGACAATCAGCATAATTGTGTTGAATCTCTGCCATCAACTAGGGCAGACTTCTGAACTGAAAAAGTAATCTCAAATTCAATCATTGGACATTAGAGGGGTAGAAACGTTACCACTTCCAGCTTGCTTTTGGGGACCCGGCAAATGCAGTTCGTCCCAAAATTGGTGTCCCGTGTCTGAATGCAGCGCAGGCAGCATAAATTCTCATACCCCTGCTTTTTCCATTTTGCGATCAGGTTTTTATCAGCATAGCCTTCTTTAATACAGTATTCATATAGTTCTGTCAAAAAGGGGAAAGAGCATCAGACCATGGTATAACAAAGCTTCCCCAGCCCCGACCCATCACTGCTCTTCATTAAAAAAAATATTTAGCCAGCCCTGACCCCTCCCCACTTTTTTTAGTGAGAAGAAAACCAACACTTACTGAGGTTGCAAGAACAAGAACCATGAAGTAAATCTGAAAGCTACTCAGGTTGGTGAGGCTGAGAGAATTTAATTACCTCTGCTTATGGCTTTCCGCTTATAAAAGAGGTCAAAAATATAGCGGGTTTTCTGGTGGTGGATCCTGAAGATAGGCCACAGAGATTCCACTTTCCTCTTTCCCTCATGAGGTTCTGTTTCAGCTGAGGAGAAAAAGGTGTGTGTTTGTCTTCTTGTGGCAGGTAGTATTCACAGGATACAGTTTTTTTTTTCTTTTAAATAACTAAGGATAAAGAATAAATCCGACTTCACACCTTCTAGGTTGGCTATCCTCAAAAAGGCAGTAACAAGTATTGAAGATGTGGGAAAACTGGATCATATGCTGCTGCTGCTGGAAATGTAACACGGTGCAGCCTCCCTGGAGAACAGTCTGGCCTCTTCCTCAGGAAGTTCAAGTTACTATATGACCTAGTAGTTCTACTGCTTGGAATATATCCCAGAGAACTGAAAACACACATGCAAACAAAAACTCCTATATGAATGTGCAAGCAGCAGTATTCACAACAGCCAAAAGTTGAGGCAATCCCGGTATCCATCAGCTGTTGAATGGATAAACGAAGCCCACCCATACATGGAGTATTGTTCAGCCATAAAAAGAAACGAAGGGATCCCTGGGTGGCTCAGCAATTTGGCGCCTGCCTTTGGCCCAGAGCACAATCCTGGAGTCCCGGGATCGAGTCCCATGTCGGGCTCCCAGCATGGAGCCTGCTTCTCCCTCTTCCTGTGACTCTCTCTCTCTCTCATAAATAAATGAATAAATCTTAAAAAAAAAAAAAATGAAGTACTGGCTCCTCCTACAACACGGAAGAACTTTGAAAACATGATGCCAAAGGAAAGAAACTAGTCCCCAAAGCCCACCTACTAGATGATGGTCTGCAGAGACAGAAAGACCAGTGGTTGCCTTGGACTGAGAGAGCTGGGGAGATGGCGGCAGTGGGGGGAAGAATACTAAAGGGTGCAGGCTTTCTTTAGGAGGTAATGGTTGTCCAACTCTGAATATCCTGAACACCCCCCCTTAACACTGTATAAGGGCAAATTTTATAGAATAAGACTTCTAGCTCAATAGAGCTGTTATTTTTAAAAAAGATAAAAAGCCACATGATTTAAACATGATTATTTGGCAATTCTCTTTCTGTTAGCAGTTATAAGTTGATCTTTGTCTACCATCTCCGCTCAGTTTTTAGAGCAGAGGAGAAAGGTGAGGAGTGGTCAAGAAAGCTACCTCCATTTCTCCACCTTTGGGGCCATTCTATTACTTAGGATATAGAATTCACAAATGGGATTCTGTGATCCTCAGGGCAGGCACTGAGGACTGAGCCAGTGCACAGTGCATGCTTGCTATAGCTCAGGCCCTGCTCTGGGCACCGGAGGTCCTGCAGCGGGGCAAGCAGAGCATCACTGGGGCTGCGTTCCAGGGCAGGGAAGTGCATCAGCACCTGGAGGTAAGTGGGGAAGGCCACACAGAAGAAGAAAATACTGAAGTGAGGACTGACCTTTTATACAGGTGATCAAAGAAGGCACAAGGGGACATCTGATCAGAGTCTTTAAGGAACCAAGGGGGGAGGCTTGTCGAGTGAAACAGGTGAAGGGTGTTACAGGTATAAGCTTCCAGTTAGAAGTCCTATGGATGGTCTCCGGGATCACGCCCTGGGCCAAAGGCAGGCGCCAAACCGCTGCGCCACCCAGGGATCCCTGCACTCTCATTTTTAAAATCCCTTTTAGGCCCATTTTCATAAGACCATGTGAACATTCTTGTTGTTTTGTACAAGTTCACACACATAGTGGAACGCATTTTTCAATGGGTGATGCGGAGTCCTGCCATGTTTGAGGGAAGGAAGAGAAGCTAGAAGTAGGGGCATCATGGTATAGACTACATTTAGGTTTTTGCTGCTTTGCTAATGCCAAGAACTTTAAAAGAAATGTCCCATTAACTTCAAAACCTTGGCAACAATTATTTTTAAGTGTTATTCTTTAAAAAATCTAGTTAAATGTTCATTATGCAAGTGTTTATGCTTGATTTTCAACTAATTCAAAGTCCTTACAAAAGTAGTTATTTAGGGGTGCCTGGGTGGTGGCTCAGTCAATTGAGCATCCAACTCTTGATTTCTGTTCAGGTCATTATCTCAGGATCCTGAGATCAAGCCCAAGCACCTCTCCCATCCCTGCTCTTTTAAAACAATAAAAAGAAAATAATCCAGTAAGTTGGTCATGTAAGGCCAACAGATGCTTGTGGCTTCAGATAAGAGTTCTAAAAACATGCTACACTGATTCATCAAGTTCAGGATCATACAGCATTTTGAGGGAACTGAAGATAGTACATTTTGGAAAACTAGTAGACTATGCAAAACCAAAATGATAAAAACAGTGTCAGAGATCTGCAAGGAAAATCTGGATTACGTTGTTTCTGAAAATGTGAAAATGAAAAAGGACAGGATTTTCCAAGTAAACCTAAGATCCTAAATATGTACCTAACCCAAAACAGTCAATGATTATAGGTAGACTATTTGATCTTTATTCTCTAAGGCTTTTATATTAAGTTGGCTCCAAAACGTTTTTGAAGACCTTTACATTAGTGCCATCCTACTTCCCAGAACTCATAATATTCCTGAGTTAGTAAGCAAACAAAACAGGTCAGTGCCCAGAAGCCACAGTGGTGCTGACTGGCTCTTCCCATATGATACTTGCATTTATGCCTCGTCCCTGGAGACACCTGAGCCTGTGACCCTTAGATTCAGCTCACCCAGTTAGGAACTACTCCACTCACCTTCTCTCATCTTTTGATCTAATTCATCCAGTGTTGGCTCGATCAACTCCCAACCATCTGGGGGAGCTTTCCGGCTTCTTTTGACTTTAGGCATTTTTCTCACAAGATACTTTGCAAAGATCTGGGAGGGAAAATTAAATGGATTGGTTTCTGAACCTGAGATCCCCAAAAGCCTTCACTAGCCACCATTTTGCTGCACATTCACTTCCCTAAATCTGTTTCCTCATCTGTAAAATCTACATAGAGGGCCATCGTGAAGACCTCATTAAAATTATATGGAATATGCTTGCATTAAATATGTTTAGTAGATTTTTGTTGTTATCTTTAACATCACCTATGAGCCTGGCCTTGGACTGGATGTTGGGAACATAGAACAAACCATTAAGACATAACTTCTGTCGTTGGGAAAGTGAAACTCTAGCAAGAAAACAAAATGAAAAGGTAATCACAATACAGTGTGAGAAGGTCTATGGTTGGGAGAGCAGAGAGAATGAGGGCTTAAAAGGGAAAAAGATGGTGTAAAGCCAAAGTACCTTACCGTCTGCTTCCCAAGAATGTAACAGAAAGAACTCTGGTCTCTTCAGTTACAGGCTTAGGTTCTTGTCCAGCTCTACCAATTACTCTGTGACTTTGGGGAGGTCACATTCCCTTTCTGGTCCTCAGTCTTGTCTATAAAATGAGGGCAATGAATTAGCTGGATTGCCAAAAAGTCTTTTAAACCCAAGAAAAATGTTATATAAAGGCAAGTCATATAAAGCCCATCCAGTACAAATCTAAATGAAAGGTATTTCAAACCACATTTCCATTGCATTTCCTAATTGGCACAGAGGATTCAGGTTAATTACCTACCTCCTACTTTGAAGCATAGCAGATTCCTCTCTCCCAAACTCAATCAGTCTGTGCAGTGCCCTACTCCGAGTTTACAAAGCGCCCCCCTCCCCCAGTCCTTTCATGAATTCTCCATTAACAACCTTACAGTTAAGGAATAAAATTTCTAGGGGTAGAGTCAGGGTCACACAGCTGAGGACTGCCTGAGTATGATTCTGACTAGGGGGCTCCTGACTTCCAAACCAGTGGTCTCTGCACGTGTCTCTCCGGCGCTGAAGCTAGAGATGGACAGAATCTGGACCCTGCCCAAGCGCGCGCACGGGCTGAGAAGACAAAGATACGGGATGGCCAACGTGCTATGATCCAGGGAAATTCGAGAGCCTGGTCCATCTGGGGGCCAGAGAACAGCCCAGGGGAAGTAATAGGCAGGAAGCAACTGGATCAAGAGGTGGCAGGCGGAATAAGAGGTGGCAGCGCTCAGAAGAAACGAGTGGAAAGGCCTTCAGAGCTAGGGAAGGAAAACGTTACGGTCGGAATAACAGGAAAGGCTCCCTAGAGACGACGGCATCCAGGCTAGGTTTACAAAAGAACAAAGAGCATTTACACAGAAAACGTTCTCTGCGAAGAAAGCAGCGGGAGGAGGGGGAGCCTAGAAGCAGAAGAGCCTTCAAATCTCCCATACCCTGGGCAAAACGAACGAGGCACCACCTCCTCTGACCTCCCGCTCCAGGGGCCCGAAACTGCCCCTGGCCAGCCGCTCAGGTCGCTTCTGGCCCGGTGCAGACCTCCGATCCCTGGCCCTAGCTGTTACCAAGGTACTGGAGGACACAGAAAAATGCTCACCTGAGCCACCGTCACCGTCAGCCGCCACTTCGCTACAGGCGGCTTCCGCTTCCCAGGCGATCTCTACAGGCTGAGGTCCTCGCGGAGCCGCTCCCCACCTCGCGCCGAGATTGCGTCATCCTAGGTATCCGCAGTTCTGCCTGTAGAGAATTTTGCAGCCGCTGTTGCGTTTTGCCCTCACATCCCGCGGGGAGACCGGCAGGCTCGCGCGTCTCCCCAGGGCGGGGGGACTGGAGGCACTGTTGCCTGGGCAGCGTCCGGGCGAGCCTGGATTCAGGCGACCCGCGGGACAGTCTCCGTGAGCCGGCTTCCCTGAGGTCCCCGGTACTCGGGGGCTCGGGCGGCGACGGCGGCGGCGCGCTGAAGAAAACTGGGCCGGGCGGAAGAAGTCGAGCCCGAGGCATTTCCGGTTCCGGTGTCAGTTCGAGGCGCCGCCGCCGCCGCCGCCGCAGCCGCCGGAGCCGCGATGCCTAAAGGAGGTGAGGGGCGAGTGCGCGTGGCTTGTGGGCCTCGAGGGGCTGCCAGAGTCCGGCTCCTCTTGTTCATTCAGCCCGCGGGTGTCTCGGACAGCGGCGCAGAGGGAGGACGTCCGCGCCGGCTGAGGGCCAGGTGTGGGCCTCGACGCCCAATTGTCCGGATGGAAAAACTGAGGACCGGAGTGGCCACGAGCTACTCCTCCGGGGGTCTTAGGAGAAGACTCGGGGGCCTCCGGCTCCTCGCCGGCACGGAAGGCCGGAAATAGGGCGCGCTTCTGCTGGCTTGGGGGACCTGGAGTTCCCTCCCGCTGTAGGCTTGCCGGGGACTGAGTCACCGCGTCCCGCGCCTGTGCCGGGGCTCGTCTGCCTTGCGCGTAAAACGTGGGCCCTCTCGAGCTCTGGGCGAGCCGGGCCTGCCTCGTGAGATAAGTTGGTGTTCTGGCGCCGGGCGGACCTAGCTTTGACTGCCCCTGTTCGGCAGCGGCTGCGTGTGTGCCTCTGAGCCAGTCGCTTCATCTCCCTGTGTTTCGGTTTTCTCATTTGCAAACCGGGTTTGTGATTGTAGCTACCTCATAGTACGGATGGGAGACTTAAACTAGGTGATCCACGTGGAGTGCGCGGCACAGCGCCGGGCCATCGTTAAGTGTCCGCTAAGCACTATTTGTAGGGTTTGGTCAGTTTCTTGTCCAAGAAGACCGAGGATCCACGGTAGACAGTCCTTCATTCTCTTTCCCCTGAGCGTCAGAAGTTCTTGATTTGAAGTCTAGCTGTGTCACTGTCTAACCCTGTGGCCTTGAACAGATTATTTAATTCCACTCTGTTTTTCTCATCTGGAGCACTTGGCTAATAACCCTTAGCTTGGAGAGCTGGAGAAAGAGGTCATTAAAAAAAAAAAAAATTAGAGCACTCAGAGTGCCTGGCCAACTCCTGGCTCAGAACATATGTTCGGTTAATAGCGGTAGCTCATGTGTCATGTTGGTTAAGCTGCTTCAGCCACAGGAAATCTTGGGAGTTTTTTTCAAACCTAAATGACTTCCTGATTTTACTTGCAGAGATATTGGGGTTTACAGAGTCGAATCCATTTAAACCTACCTCCCTACTGATTTCATCTGTGGAATCAGTCTCTTCCATTTTTCTCGATCTTGGTCCTGCAAAAGGAGGGTGCTAAATGAACCCTCTGGTTCCAGAATTCTGGCTCTTAAGGTCCTACTTCACAGATACTTTGAGCCAAGGTTAGAGGTTACAGTTAGAAAATGCTGAATATCTTGGTTAAATGACTTGACCTTTGGCTTGTGAAAAGCTTTTATGGGCGGATGAGATTTGCATTTCTTGCTTTTGTTGATTTACTTCAAAAACTAAAGAAAAGATTTTTTTTTTTTTTACCACAAAATTCCCCTAGAGAAAAGGATGCACTCTTGTTTCCAGTAAGTTACTGTGAATCACTTTTAAAGGCAGAAGGAGCTTCTGATAGAAGTTATGGTAGGCTAAACTAAGGTCAGTATCCCCTAGCCAGGTGTGCGGGATGAGAGGCTATAGTAGCCAGTATTGAGTTGTTACTACTTCCTGGAAAACTAAGAGGGCAAGAAAGGGTGTTAGGTTTTTCTTCTTTTTTTAATGGCAAGCTTGGTATCACACAATAGGACTTTCATGAGCATAAACAGAGACACCCATGGGAACCCGGGTAGTTATTAAAAATGGGTGGTGTGGTCTTTAGCAGCCAATTATGGCTCTGTAGCTGCTGTCTAGGAACTAAGGAGGAGGTTGGTATCTCTGCTGCTGTCTCTGGAGTCCAGAGAAGCTCTGGCTGTCTAATTACAGATTCTCTGTGCTCAGTGAAACACTCACTGGAAATCAACTGGGCCGAAGCTTCCAGTAGAAGTGGGAATGGATTGAGGCCACAACCACCCAGCATCCTCCAGGACCGGCAGACACAGGTGCCACCCTGCTGTAAAACTGGCTGATGGCTTTAACAGGAGTCAGCCTCTTGTCTTGGCTCAAGAGGCTTGGACTGTAAAACTGATACTCTTAGATGAGCTTTAATCACTAGTCACATTTTTAACTCTTAGAAGATAGTTGGTTTTATTTTCAACTTTAAATTTGTCAGCTATGTTTCTCACTTCAAGCACAAGAAAGTTCTCAGTAGGTTTTAGGGTCTTTTTACTAGCATGCCACTTAGGTGAATGTGAAATATTTTATTCTCTGACATTTACAGTGAATCACTGATGAGGCCAGTGCCTTTGTTTTTTTCTTTCTGTCAAAATACTCTATCCGAAAAGTAACAAACATAGCACAAACGTAGCGTATGTTTCTGTAGTGCTTATCCAGTGCCAGGCACTGTTCCAACAGACGTATGTATGTTAAGTTCATTCCCGTGACAACTGTAGGAGGTAAGGACACAGATGGAGAAACTGAGACTCAAAGGTTATTTACCTGCCCAAAGCTAGTAAGTGGTGCAGCTGAGATTTGAATCTTCAGTGACTTGTCTGTAAAACGAGACCAGCTGTGACTCCCTATAGGTTTATTCTGAGGATCAAATAAGTGCATGGCTGTGACCGAACATTTGCCAAGTAAAAACCATTGTAGGGACAGCAGGGGCATAAGTGTTATATGTTTTTTACTGCATTTTTGTCCACTGTGTTTGGAATCTTTTTTTTTTTTTTTTAAGATTTTTTATCTATTTATTCATGAGAGAGACAGAGGCAGAGGGAGAAGTAGGCTCCCCTCAGGGAGCCTGATGCGGGACTGGATCTCAGACCCCAGGATCAGGCCCTGAGCCGATGGCAGAAGCTCAGCCACTGAGCCAGCCAGGCATCCCACTGTGTTTGGATTCTAAGGAACCATGGGATTTGGCCAGTTCTGATGTGCAGTGTGCCCTCCTCCATATCCTTCCCTCAGAGCTGTGTTTGTAGGAACTTACATCCAGCATACAGTTTGGAGCTGCCTCAGGTTGTCACATGTTGCCTCTTTTGTCCCTTTGAACATATGAAAGTAGGAGAGTATAGGTTTGGGTGGTGCTTGGTGAGGGGGAGGGGAGGTCTCTGCTTCTGTGCATCAGGACACAGCCCCCTGGGGCTCAGGGCCATCAAGGAAGCCTATTCCCTCCCACCTTCCTAAATTGCTAATCCTTGTGCAGGGAGAAAGGGAGGCCACAAAGGCCGGGCAAGGCAGTACACAAGCCCTGAGGAGATCGACGCACAGCTCCAGGCTGAGAAGCAGAAGGCCAGGGTGAGTACATGCCTGTCGAGGCCACTCCAGTGGCCCAGGGTGATTCCCTGCCTCTTTGGCATTCAGAGAGGCCAGGCAAGGACCACCTATTCCTAAGAAGCAGCCAGCACCTGAGGTTTGGGATTGGGGATGGGGCATGGGCGGCAGGCAAGTATCCCAGAACAACCAATGACTGAAAAGAAGAGCCATCTTCTGATTGAATCGATTAGAACTTTGTTCTTTTAACAGTGATTGCCTTAGTGGGTCTCTGTTCTTGGTTCTGTGTGCCTGCTTTCTGGAAGCTGTCCTTCTGCCAGGCTTAGCCCATCCATAGCTCAGGTTCCCAGCAGCCCCATTTGTTTGTAGCCATGCCAGACTGCTTGCCAGACCCAGCGTGACATGATGCCCTGCCTTCCCACACCCCTAGCAGGCAAAGTACTATTCCTTTCTCCAGACCTTGCTGAACGTCGCCTCCTCTGTGACTCTCACTGATGCTATTCACCCTTCCCCCTCTAGTCTGAGCTTAATACTTTACTCTATTCCTGCAGTGTTTTTTACAGCCTGTTGTCAGGAAATAGAATGTTTCCATCATCATTCACATCCACATCCCTGACCATACCATTAGATCCTTGCATGGATAAGGGCTGAAAAGAGCTCAGTCAGACCTGATGAGTGACACTGCTCTGGAGTGCCTGGGAGTTCCTAGAAGGGGAGGGGCCACAACAACTGACTGGGAGAGGGCAAGAGGGCTTGATGGAGTTGCTGGCAGCTAAGCAGGACCTTGGACAATGTGTGGGCAAGTGCAAGGGGGGGGAAGGACCTACTGTTTTTGTTAGGAATATTTTTGGTGGGGAAGCCAGAAGGGTGGAAGGAAGCGACATGTTGGGTGTTGTCTTAGGAAGCCAACACAGCAAGGCCTCTGCATGAGCAGGTTGGAGTGGCTGGCCTACCATTGACTGTGGGAGGAAAGCAGGGGAGGACTTGTCCAGAAAAGCGAGTACGATTTGGCAGCTGCATGTGGCAGCTGGGGAAGCAGAACGGGAGCTGAGCAGGACTGTGGTTTTCAGCCCCACAGCTGAGTTCTTCAGAGTCTGGAAGATTAACTTCTCACCCAGGATGGACTGTGGGAATGGTTTTTAGACTGTGGAGCTGAATAGATAGGCTGCCTCTGACCCAGGTCCCCAACTAGGGGCCGGGGTCCCAGAGTAAGACCCTTGTCATACTGGCCCCAGCTTTCTGGGGCTTAATTTTTCTGGGTCCACAGACTAGAGGTGGTGGGAGCAGGGGTCACAGTCTAGGGGGTTTGTGCATTTTTGATTTTGCAGGTTGTCCATTTCTGAAACAGGAAGAAGAGGAACAAGGAGAAGAAGGTGGAGATGGGGCTGCAGGTGACCCCAAAAAGGAGAAGAAATCCCTAGACTCAGATGAGAGTGAAGATGAGGAAGATGATTACCAGGTACTGTGTTTGGTGGAGGCCTGAGACTTGGCCTCATTCAGTCAGCAAATGTTTATCAGGTGCCTGTTGATGACCATTTCCAGTGGTAGATG